CTTACATACACGTTACAAACAGGGGCGTAGACAACGGGGGGGATGAGGGGGATGCATCCCCCCCACCTCACAAGGTGGGGGGGATGGCATGTACAATCATCCCCCCCAGGTTTTGGGGAATGATATTTGCTTACTTAATAAGTCATAATGATGATAATAATAGTAATAATAATAATGATAACAATTATTATATTTATAATAATAATAATTATGATGATGATAATAATAATCCTCATCATTATTGTATTTGTGTTTATTGTTATTAGCCGCATTCACACGGTGAAAGCCAATTCAGACGGTAAAAAAAAAGAAAATCTTACAAGTATTTTGTGGTTATCTTGTGGTTTGGAAACCACAAGATAACCACAAGATTAAACAGGCACGGATTTACGGGGGGGGGGGGTTAGGGGGTTTAAACCCCCCCCCCCTTGGGCGGCCCAAAAAACAAACAAAAAAAAAAGGGGGAAAAAAGGAGAAAAAAAAAGAAAGAAAAAAGAAAGAAAAAAGAACGCACGCTGGAGAGAAACCCTTTCAAGTGCAAATATTGTGAGAAGATATTCAACTCAACTGGTAACTTAACCAAACACATGATAACTCTGGATATAACTGTGTATTTAACTGTTACTTGATTTAAAAAGACGTTATCATGCACTGCTTTTTATGGTCTCCATTGTGTTAATAGATGCCAGGAAAACATCACTTACGGGGTTCAAATAAACACCCCCCAAAAAATCGGCTCGCCGCTTCGCGGCTCGTGGACGATGCTCCGCATCGTCATTATTGGTCAACCCCCCCCCTTAGCAAAAAGCTAGATTCCCCCCCTGAGTCATCCCCCCCAATCAATCAATCAATCAATCAATCAATCAATCAGGTGTACGAACCTGTCTACGCCACTGGTTACAAATATATATAGTTTGCACAATTCAAAACATATTTCAAAATTTAACAAATTTTAAACAATGATAATGGCAAGTGTCAAAGTAATGAGATAAATAGAGTGTGATTTGTCGTTTTACATCATGTTCTCGCTTTACTTTTTATTTAGATATCATTATCATCAACTGTGCGCCGCTCACTGAGCAATACTGCAAAATATAGCCCAACATTCACACGGAACAAGTTTGTGAGAAGTTTGGAGTTGCCATACACACCACAAAAATACAAGACTTAATTCTTAGTAATTTGTTGTTTTAGGTTATACAATTTTTCCCGTCAATTTTCTTTTATGAGACACGATCTACATGTTACACTTTCAATCTTTGCGAATTCATTTATAAACATGTACTTAAATGGGAACAGAAACTCTATCACTATAGGACACAGGCAATCATTGTATCATGTAACACAAAATTCTTTATATTAAAGTTGGACTTCGGATGTTTTTTTCCTCTTGACCCTTTCGGTTTTATATGTAGGCCTAGGTAGGCACTATAGGCAGTTCATATTGCCCCCTATATAACCAATAATGTAGTACAATCTGTATCAATTCATGATGCCAAGCATGGAGAAACTCTTTCAAATAGTCATCGCTCTTTTTGCAAAGCTTATGCTGAAATTTGGAACAAACTTTTCATGTCACAAACTGTCAGACTGTCAACCAATTAAATACATTTTTTCAAAATTGCTTTCAGTGATGATTGTATTGTAATTTGTACTTTTGTAGGTTTATATTAGTAAGTTTTTTTGTTTTGTTTAATATGTAATTGTGTATCAAGGTATTTTGTTTGTTAGAGCGCTTAGAGACTTCAGTGGAAAGCGCTTTATAAGCACCGTTTTAATTATTATATTAAAAATCAGACTGAACATATTTAAGCACTCGCTGATTTCAAATGCGGTGTCACCAACACCAACACTGAACACCATACTTGAAATCACCCACAAGAGTCTGATACGCTAGACTCGATTGATTGATTGATTTTTATTCGACAAGCTTCCAACATACAACAATATACAATAATAACAGATCAAAAAAAGTCAGCTTGAACAGGATAACCCACGAAAGCTCGAGAGCTTATTTCCAGTGGGGTCCCTTACAGACATGTATAAAATTAATAAGTTAAGATAGTAATATTTACAGACAGATAAGAAAATTAAAAGAACTACTTATTAAAGATAATAATAATAATAACAACATTAAACTGATGATAGAAATGATATCAAGTACAAGAAGAAAAAGAAGAAGGAGAAGAAGAAAAAGAGGAGAAGGAAGAAGAGGAAAATAATGATGAATTTGTAGAATTTTTATAACGTACGAAAACATAAGTATATACAACATGAAAAAGTATGAACCGACAGAAGAATAAAAATTTCAATCATATAACATGTCATTCACTTCTCTTGTCTGACTGTCAAGTATTAGGTATTCCTTTAATTTCCTCTTAAAATGATCATAGTTTCCTATTTCTTTTACACCATTGGGAAGGGAATTCCAATGTTTTATGGCATTGTAATAAAACGAATTTCCAATACTACCTACTCTTTCTGGTAAGTTAAAGTTGAATCGTCTATTTCTTGTATTATAATCATGTACGTCAGTAACAAGATCGAAGTTGGATCGAATATAATGATTCGACCTAGTATGATATATTTTATGCACATGATGCAATACGAGTTGTTTTGATCTTTGGTCGACTTCAAGAAAACCAGCTTTAGAAAGTTCGCTGTAGCCAACATGAGTTCTTGGACCAGAACAGTTGATAAATCTCACCATTTTGTTCTGTATAATCTTCAACTTCTTTTGATCTGACTTGTTTATGTTACTATACCATGCATGGTTAGCATAGTCAAATAAACATTGAATAAGAGCAAAACAGAGTGTACGTCTTGCTTTTAAATCCATACAACTTTGATATCTGTACAAAAATTTCAGACGAGAATTTGCTTTTTTTACAACTGATTCTACTAAAGATGAAAATGAAATTGCGCTAGCCAACTCAATGCCTAAATACTTCACAGACTCTTTTCTCTTGATTGCTTGATTATTGTGTGTCACTTTGAATTCAAATGACTTTTTAGAACTACTTTTAGAACAAAATAAAATGCTTTCTGTTTTTCCCAAGTGTAAAGAAAGCTTATTATCAGTCATCCAATCGACACACGTAGACAGCTGTTCACTGAGCTTTTCCTCAATATATTTAGGATCAGGATTTGAATAGAGTAGTACGCTGTCATCTGCGTACAATAATAGTTTGAAGTCTTTTATACAAATACACATATCATTTATATAACTTGAAAATAGAATTGGGCCTAAAATGCTTCCCTGAGGAACACCGCAAGTTATAGGCATTAGTTTGGAACGAATATCATGAATGGCCACTACTTGGTGCCGATTAGATAAGTAGGATCTAAACCAATCTAAACTTGCCTTATCAAAACCCATTAGTTGTAACTTCTTCAATAAGACGCAATGATTAACTGTATCAAAAGCTTTTTGCAGATCAAGGAGCACCATACCAACAAAGCGCCCTTGGGAAGTTTCTCTCCTCAAATAATCAGTCAAATGAATTAGACATGTTTCAGTCGAATAATCATGTCGAAAACCAGATTGAAATTCATAAATTATATCATTTTCTTTGAAGTATCTTTCAATTTGAACACAGACCGATTTTTCTAGAATCTTTGATGCTACGCTTAAAACACTAATAGGTCTATAGTTGCTAACATCAGTTTTATCTTTCTTTTTATAAAGTGGAGTCACTTTTGCTATTTTCATATCCTCTGGAAAAGTACTCGTCAAGATAGATAGGTTCATTAAGTAACTTAGAGGCTTAAATAAAACCTTCGCACCATCTTTTAGAAATTTAGCTGGAATCAAGTCTAACCCAGTACTTTTTGATACATTCAACTTACGTAACTCTTTGAAAACAAATTGTTCACTGATTGGTAATAACTCGAAGCTGTTTTCACGTACACCTTTTCTTTCGTAAAAGTCACGAATACAATCATTGTCTGCGCTGAAAAAGTCTTTGGAAGGGGGGGAGTTTGTCTACTAATTTGGCAGCCACATTTGTGAAATGAGAATTGAATTCATCAGCGATGGCCATCTTATCATGACATAATTCCCCATCAATTTTAATGACAGATTCTTGTTCTTTTCGCTTCTTATTTTTCAATCCTAAGCTTTTTAGATTCTGCCAAAGTTTTTTCGAATCTTGTTTATTTTCTTCTATCTTGTTTTGTAAGTAAACGAGTTTAGCCCTTTTCACCTCTCTTTGGACCATATTTCTTAATACTCTGTATCTTTTATAGAGCTTCTCATCTTTTGCTCTTTTCCTCCATTTTTTGTATACTATATTTCTCTCTTGAATTAGGGAAAGAATATCTTTAGTCACCCAAGTTTCTGATCTTTGTTTTATTCTTATCCGTTTCAGTGGCGCTATCATATTCAAATTTGTTTAATATGTAATTGTGTATCAAGGTATTTTGTTTGTTAGAGCGCTTAGAGACTTCAGTGGAAAGCGCTTTATAAGCACCGTTTTAATTATTATATTAAAAATCAGACTGAACATATTTAAGCACTCGCTGATTTCAAATGCGGTGTCACCAACACCAACACTGAACACCATACTTGAAATCACCCACAAGAGTCTGATACGCTAGACTCAATCTCTACGTTTCGTATACTCTCTTAAAATCCTACTTGAGGCTTATTTTATTTATAATATAATATATAGCAAATAAAGATAAAAATAAAAAAAATTAAATACCATAATATAATACAAATTTACATTCTGCATGTATAAATCTCTTTGGTTTTGAGTTTACTTTGAATAATGCTCTTGATTATAAATGAATAAGTATAACACAACGATTGAATCCATGACTAGTTATTAGCGAGTGCTCGTGCGTGATTGGTCAGTTTGATTTAAAGCGCCCGTTTCAATTCAATGCAAAGTACATAGGCGGCATAAACAAGCGAAGATTGACGGCAGATCCACATTTTACTACAACATATTTCCTGCTCTAAGTCTAAAACTTCAGTTTAAGCTAAAAGATTCACAATGGTGAAGGGTGTATTGAAACCTCCACAGGAGAAGAACATACAGGTTGTCGTTAGATGCAGGTAAATATCTATTATTTTGATTAATTCCCATATTTTGTTGGTAGTGCGACAGCGACTGTGCGAGTGAATGAGATTGTGAGCGTTTTACCATTCAAGTCCCGGGTTTCTACGGCGGCGCCGCTCCGGCCCGGTGCATCGTGTCGACTTCGGGTGTGTTGACTAGAATAGAAATAATCGTCTGGCAGTGCACAGGCCACAGCTTGCATAAAGGCATGGCCATTGGGAATTTCTTTAAATAGTAAAAACTGTAATTTTACAATCTTCCCCACACAGCTAATGCCTGGTCATGCTGGTGTGACCAAAGTTCGCGCGTGACCAAAGGCTTTAAAAGCTAAGTTCGCTTTCTCGAGAAAATTGGTAAGATTTCACAAATCTGATGGTCTATCATCAATGCCAATGGAAACGTAAAATTACCCAGAAATGAAATTTTCTTTAAAATTGGGTGTGAAATTGTGAAAATATTGACAAAAGATCAGCAAATTTTGCAGTCTTTTGCATTCCTTCCGAAAAATTATCAACTTACCGATAAGGCCGGGCCGGGTCTGGAAATCATCATTTTGAGACCAATTGTAAGTAATAAGTGGTACCGACTGATTGTATGATATCTTGCCTTGCAAATTATTAATCTACCTTATTTTTTGATGGATCGCATTTTTGTAAAAATCAGCTGTAGATCTACATGTATTCTAAACCCCTGTTCTTGAAGTGAGGTCTCGTTTTTAAGACTTTTTTATGCATCGCGCACGCACGATCGGACATCAAATTTTTAGATCGGTAACATTTTCTAGTTGAACAAATTTGTCGTCCATTTGGTAATAGATATAATTGAAATAAATAAATTTGTGTAAAATATGAGAAATCATAGATCGAATATCACATTTTGTAATATGTTCTAAAATGTCCGCGAATTTTGGTCACCCCTTCATGTTAGTATTAGTAACCCCCTTTCTTTGCACGCACAATGATTCAATGGGGGCTGGATCTGGAAGCTGAATTAAACTGGTCACAAAGAACTTTGCGCATTTACAATGAGTTTACACACTCTCATTGGCCGATCTGCTCGACAGCTCGAGTGGCTTCAAATTTAATAAGTGAGAGAGGGTCTACATAACTTAAGCTCAACTTAAGTTAAATGGCAAAGTCAATACGTACCTGTAGGTCTAGACTAACTTTAGGAAGCTCCGACGCTGACGCCAAGGCGTCAGAGTTTCAGAGGGCACACAGGAAAGCAATTTAAACAGCGGATTGGGCGACATTATCTCAAAATATGCAAAGGGAGTAATTACAATTTTTACTTAGTTGCTCGACTCCTCTGGGCATCTCGCAGGCCACTTGAAATTATAATTTTAAGAAGTCTTCGATGGGGAAAAAGGGGGTGATTTTTCATCCTACCCCAACGATTCATCCATGTTGTATCGTCGATTCAACATGGCGAAGAAAAAGTACGCATGTGCGGTAGTTACCTCACATGCATACTTTCATGGCAGCTTGGGCTCGCATCTCGCCCCGACATGGAGATCTCTCAGAAGAAAATGTTTCTGTTGCCCTACTAAATAAAATTAAAATCTACCTCGTGCCTAACGTCTGCACCGTAGCACTGACTTGAAGGGTTTTCTGCCCATTATTCCAAAGCAACTTCCCTTTACCTTTTCCTTGTCCGGGTCCTTAACATCCCAACCTATCAGGACAGGTATGCAAGATATTGCTATTTCTATATATTCAATAGCCAGCCCGAAAGCATGCAATGACAAAAACCCCATACTTTAGCCTGTGTGTCTTAAATACAAATTTATCCAGTAATGCATCCTACGCTTGACTACCTCTAACTGACCTTTGAGTAGACCATTTCCCTTCTCGCCTGGAAAAAAAATCCTTTCATGACACCATAAATGTTTTGTTTTTCCAATTACAGACCTGTCAATTCCATCGAGAAAAAGCAAAATTCCTACTCAGTGCTGGATGTGAAGCCTTCTAAGAAAGAGATTTGCGTCAGCACAGAAGTTGCTGAAAAGGCTTCATCAAAAATATTTAGCTTTGACAAGGTAGGAATCACAAAATGTATTTCTAAAACCAATAACTTTTACACTCATTAAACTTTTGTTTATTTTTCTGAATGTTTGCAATTAAGTATGTAATAAAAATTTGGTGATACATGTGTCACTTCTACTTACAGAAAGTATAAATTCATGTACCTGTGGAAAATAAAAAAAATTGCGGTTTTATTTAAAGCTGGATTTGCTTTATAAAATATGAGATTCCATTTCACCAATATGTATTTATTTTATTTTTCATTTATTCATTATAATTGTTATAATATTATTTTTTTTTGTTGGGGGGGGGGGGGGTACATGAGTTTCTTTAGAGCTTTCATGGCTTCCATCTCTTTTTCCACTGACATGTAATTTTGGTGGAGTAGTTGAATATAATTGTTATTGCTTCATTTCAGGTTTTTGGTCCCAAGTCTCCTCAAATCGAAGTGTACAAGTCGGTAGTTGCACCGATTCTCGATGAGGTCCTCATGGGATATAACTGCACAGTGTTTGCGTAAGTCTGAAGTATTCATTCCTTGTAATATTTCCAATTTTCCATGTATCATTTCCGATCTCCAAGACTGATGACTGATTTTGTTGTAGGGTGTTTGTATTCTAATACATGCCATGTATAGTTTGTTTGTATTATCTGTTTGGAGCCAGAAGGGCATCAACTCTTCAGCATTTTACACACAATTAGCTCCCTTCTTGATCCAAACATAAATAAATGTGGTATGTGTTGAATCTTCATTAAACAGAAAACGGATGAGAATTTCTCCATGCTGAAATGCTAACCAAACTTCAACTTGTCACTTTGTTGTCAGATATTGTTTCTCCAATAATTTTCCAATAAATCCTCAGTTTGGAGCCAGAAAAGCATGAACTCATGCACATTTTCATAGAGTTAATGGCAACACCCTTCTGTCGCTTGAAAGATAAAAATATGAATCATTTATCAATTTTTATTTCTTTTTTAGCTATGGTCAAACTGGAACAGGCAAGACTTTTACCATGGAAGGAGAAAGAACACCCGACCCAGATTTGTCTTGGGAACAGGTAACGACTACAACATTTTTTATCATCATAATATTTCTTGATGCTGTACCGTACTAATTTTCCTACTTTTTTTTTCTTTCTATTTCAATTTTGTATTTAAATGTGCACTTTAATCAGTGATCTATGGCGTTATTATCTCATTTCTCATCAATTATAATGACATGTTACGCATTCAATAATAAATTATTACTATTAAAAATGAAGTACCGGTATCAATATCTCAGTATTTTCTCAGACTGCTAGCATATAATATGCATCAAATTATTTTCTTTAAAGTGCACCCATTTCTAGCTATAGAATTATCCATTATGATGCACCAATAACTACCAGTTTTCCATTTGAGAAAATAGACAAAGGACAAATAATGTGTTTCAATCTCTCACATTGTAGGACCCACTGGCTGGCATCATCCCTAGGGCCATGCACCAGATCTTTGAGAAGATGATTGGCACCGATATTGAGTTCTCTGTGAGAGTCTCCTATCTTGAGCTGTACAATGAGGAGCTCTTTGATCTGCTCTCCTCTCAGGAGGACACCCAAAGGCTCAGAATCTTTGAGGATTCTGCCAGGAAGGTAAGAAGACAAAGGTTAGAGGTCATGGACGGGGTCATACAACAATTAATTATCACAGGAAACATCTTGTTACAGTAATAAATGTAATTTTTATGTGCAGGACATGTGAGTGTTTAATAGTGAAATTGTGTCGATTTCTAATAATTTTTGTGATTTGAAAACATCACAGCATATGCTAATTCTTATGCACATGTACTTCACAATCAACCTAATTCCTGACTGCTTCCAGACAGTTTTTATCACGGCGTTATCACATGACCTATACTCGATTTTACCTTTAATAACACTCATTTGATGACACCTTTAATGCTCACTTGATTACACCTTTAACACTCATTTGATGACACATTTAACTTGAAATGCTTATGTCCAGGGCTCTGTTGTGATTCAAGGGCTTGAAGAGGTGACGGTACACAACAAGAACGAGGTTTACGCCATTCTTGAGAAGGGCGCGGCTAAGAGAAAGACAGCTGCAACCCTCATGAATGCACACTCCAGGTTAGTATGAGACTAGAGTCAGATTGAAAAGAAATGTTGACCAACTTATAACCAGAAACTTACATGAATCAAACGTTCACTAATATCGCAATCAAGTGGTTAAAATTCACAACAGTTGGATGCTGCAAAGTTTTTTAACCTGCCACCTTGCCATTCACAAACTTTCTTGCTGTTAAGATGGCTGATGCATTTACAATTCGTGGAAGCCTCAGATTTTATGGTAAAATTGATATGACTTTTGGCAGATGTAAACGGTATCCGCAAAATAGCCTTAACATTTATAGCTAGTGAAGTGAAGTGTAGTATCTACCCTGAAGGTCAACAAATGCACATTATATGTCGGCAACCATTATAGCAAGGTGATACATGCCAGTATTTGCAGATATGAACAGTGCTAGTGAAAGCTTCCATTTATTCGGTGAGAATCGCATTTGTAGATATTCTTGTAAGTGCAACTCATGTAAACATCTGTTGTTTTTTTTCATCAATCTTTTAGTCGTTCTCACTCGGTCTTCTCAGTGACCATTCACATCAAAGAGAATTCTATTGAGGGAGATGAACTGTTAAAGACAGGCAAACTCAACTTGGTGGATCTGGCCGGGAGTGAGAACATTGGACGCTCAGGGGCAGTCGATAAACGGGCAAGAGAGGCCGGTATGTAATTAGACCACAATTTCAAATATCTTGCCATTATTTTGTTGAATAGTCAATGTTTTTGTCATCAAGCACATGGCATTTGCTCATGGCCTTTATTTCATCTCTGAATTGTTATGGTTATCGACTTATGGTTACAATTGTGTTTAGTTGGTGAGTCAAAAATTGAAGTCAGAAATGATGTGTTTCTATGAGGATGTTACAATGTTAAGTCAGGAGATCCCTATCTTTAAATAAAAACTGAAAACACATCTTTTCAATTAACTATAGATCTAAGCATATTAGGAGCTCTTGTAGCGTAGTAGAATATATACTTAATGTTGGATAGTTTCTGTGCTCTATAAATGTATTATCATTATTATTATTCAATAGTTGTATCTTGTGGTTTTCTTCGTAGGTAACATCAATCAAAGCTTGTTAACACTGGGACGAGTCATTACAGCACTGGTTGAGCATGCCCCTCATGTGCCATACAGGTCAGTATGATCATAGTCACTCAAGATATTTTGACGATTATGATAAGGCCTAACGAAAAAAGATGTTGTATTGCCCTTTAGGTGCCAAAACATGGGTCGGTCAGAAATCTTCTTTAAAAAAAAAAAATTAAATTATTTTTTACTCCCTCTTTGGGCTGATATTTCTCAGTTGTGAATGCATTAATACATTTTTTTTTCCCTAAAAAAAAAGTATATATATTTTTTCTAAAGCCGACCGTATATTTCAAGATTTTTGGGTCGGTCGCAAAGGGCATTCCAACCTTTTTTTTTTTAAAGGCCTAAAGTCAACTTGTATTGTGCATATTGCCACTACTTCTATCTGCAGTGAGAATTTCATCAGTTGAGAGGGTAGTCCACCTTGGTCAGTCAGATGAGCATCAAAACAAAAATGAAATAAAATAAAAAATGAAAAATAAAATTAGAAAAAGATTTATTAATGACTAGATAATAATTGATGGAATAAATCAATAAAATATATTCTACATTGTCCTTCCCACCTCATTAGTTCAAAGAAGAAGAAAAAATTACTTGAATGGCTCTTGGTCTATACTGTATGATTCATTTGTATTTCTCCTTTCTTTTTTTTACCTTACTCTTCCATTTCAGAGAGAGTAAGCTAACTCGTCTTCTCCAGGACTCACTTGGAGGTCGGACCAAGACCTCCATCATAGCCACCGTCTCACCAGCTTCCATCAATGTCGAGGTTTGTAAACCCCCCTCCCCCCCCCCCCCCCCCCCCCCCTCACCAATAAACTCTTATTTGTTACAGTAAGCATTTCTGACGCCCTATTCGAACTTGAGTATATGCAAAAGATATAAAGAGGCAGAATAAAGTGATAGTCTTTGTAGACAGGTTCCTTTAGTACATGTTTCAATGAGAAACCATTTTCAAGGGAAACAAAAAAAGTGGTCTTTGTAGACAGGTGGTCACCAAAGCAGGTTTGACTGTTTGACTTGAATCTTATCACTCAGTCATAGATTTCTGCTCTGCTGAGAGACCATTGTTTCGTGGCGGCTTCGTTTATTTATTATTTCTACTAATTATTATTTGTTGTTTACTGCCACAACATTCCCCCATGTCATTTGTTTACATTATTCATTTCTTTATTTCTAAACGGTTTACCCATGAAACCATGTTACGTATGCAGTGGTAATACACTGAAATTGCAAACTCAAAAACGGTTTACCATAAAAAGTTATAGTCAGTGAATAAGTAAGTTTTTAAGTTTACATATCAACTGTTATGAATTTGAACCTTCTCATTACTTACAATTAAATTTGTTTAAATCAAATTTGGATTTGTTTTACTTTATTTCACATAAAGATGACTTTCTAACTTATAATGGCACACAGAGCATTTCAAATCATCTAAAGTTTTATTTCATCTGTCGTTGTGTTTGTGTTTATACATGCAGGAGACACTGAGTACATTGGATTACGCACACAGGGCCAAGCACATCACAAACAGACCAGAGATCAACCAGAAGCTTACCAAGAAGGCTCTTCTCAAGGTAGGCATAGACTGACCTGGATGCTTATAATTATGATGTCATTTAAAAGCCAACGGCAGACTCCATGACTGTGCTATAGTTTATATTTCTCGACTTTAAATTCATATTATTGACCTAGCTGTTCCAGAAACCAAATAATTCATGTTTTGCTTGTGCATTAGTGGTATGCTGCACTTAATTTTCAATGAGCCAGGTAATAAACTTGACGGCCCGAAGGTTTGTAAATAACAAAAGGAGGTTTGGCGAAACAAAAGGAGGTTTGAGGTCAAACCTTGGTCTGAGCTCAAACCTTGCTTTGTGAATTCGGGCCATCAAGTCTGTTCATTATCTGAATGTGACTTAACCATACATATTTACTATTGTGTGACATCTTCTCATGGAATATGCATATATGTATTATGTTCATAGCCTTGCTAGAGCTCATAGCAGACCAAATATGAAGTAAATTGGTACATGATGTAAATTGATGCCTATATACATGTAACTCCTTAATACTTGGTAACGTACGGTACAAATCATTCAATGACAAAATACCACGGGACTCTCCCAATAGTAATGTTCATTTTGATAATAATCAGTAGCAGTATTACTGTTATAGATGTTTTATACAATCATTATCAGTAATGTTAATGTTTGTCATCAATATGTCAGTAGTATTGATAAACATTTTCTCAATGTAGGAGTACACTGAGGAGATTGAGAAGCTAAGAAAAGATCTGTTTGCTACAAGAGAAAAGAATGGCATCTACCTATCTGAGGAGCATTACAAGTCAGTGTTAAACAACTTTTGGCATTTTGATTAGTTAGATTTGATTTATTTCCTCTCTTTTCTGTGTAGAATAGATGTTGAATTTTCTTCTAGTAAATATTCAATGTATTGCTTTAAAGGTTATGCAAGGGATACTTAAATACAACTGGTTGCATGTAATTATGTGTGAGGTCTCCTATTGTTTCATATATGTTTCTATGGATTCTATCATAATAATATAATGATAACTGTTGTACAAAGCAGTTTACTGGATACATTGTAACCAACCAAAGCGCTTACAGTATTGTTAGCCCAGTGACTGGATTCTATTACAATTCTGCATGCTCTCCACTCCCTGGGGCAGCATTCCAGCAAGTCACCCTTTTCATGGGCAAGCACATCCTAATCCATTCTCATTGATTTGTGCATCCTACCCGTCTAGGTGGATCGGAGCAATGTAGATAAAATGCCTTGTTTAAAGACATAAATGCCATGACGAACATACAACCTTTCAATTGATTAGACTGCTAGACTATGACACTCTTGCAGTATATTATTTCCAGTGAATTTAAGTGTCAATATCTGTAACAAACGTCAAATCAAGGTTATCACTCCACCCATCTTATGCCTTTAACATGTCAGTCCCAGAGTGAAATGGTTCATTGATGAAATATAATCCTTAGCATAAGTTAATCAGCATCTTTTTAATATTGTATCATTTGTGTAGGAATATGGAGGTTTCTATCGCCTGTCAGAGAGCGCAGATCAAAGAGATGGAAGAGAACATAGAGGATCTCACTACACAGATGCAGAAGGTAAAAAGAATGTAACAAATCAATATTTTGAAGTGAAAACAAAAATTTGCAAAAATAGTTCTTAGATATATCAGTGCTTGAAACAGGATGTAAGAATGTTTGAGACAAAATGATTATTGTGTAGTGTGGTGAATGTGAAAGTTTACCTCTTTTTTCATTTACAACACTTTCTTTATAACCAGCTGATTTATCATCTAATCATTCTAAAATCTTTTAAACCTTGCAGGTAACAGAGCTGTTTGAGTTCACTCAGAAAGAACTGGAAGAGAGAACGGAAGAACTGGAGGTAACCACCAAGAATCTTGAAGAGACCACTGAAACCCTTCACGTAACAGAAAAGGTATATTATAAGAAACCCTTCTTTCTTATGTCATAAAAGATAATCTTTTGTTCTTGTAGTACATTTGCATACCAACCAAAAACCGGCTTTGAATTAATCTAATAAATCAGCGAAATACATAACGGTGTTATCAGAAACAGAGGGTATTAGTTCAAATATCTCACCAAATGTCAATGTCATTCGTACTTGTTCCATGGTGCCAATTTTGCCCCCTTCACATGCGTTTCAAGTCGAAGTTGTGTACCAACTAGACAAATTTGTGTTGATTTACCGCCTTGATGACGAAGTATGTATGCAGTCTTCTCCAAATCGTAGCGCTGTGTCTTCAGATGCGGTGGTAGATCGGTACGGATTGGAAATTCCGGACGGTTCCTGGGGTACGGTGGCTGTTGTTGAAGGCCTGCAGTATTGCGTCACGATCAAACTTGGACGTTACGATGATCGGTTCTGGGGTCTGGCGGGTAGGTTCACTTCCTGGACGTTGCTTATGGGATAGACGGTGGACATTCACAAGAGGCATCGCTGTTACCGCTTCCTTATCAAAACCAAGAGATTCGATAGAGCTGTGTATTAGACGTTCGGCATCCCACAGAGTATTTCCGCTTCCTGCTTGTGCCTTCAAGTTGTAGAAGTTGAACAGTAGAATATCCTATAAAATGCAGTCAAATATTTCCACATTATACCCTTCAGCAATGTTTTGCCTTTATGTTGTTTATGCATGCCATACACTCCATTGCTACTATGTTGCAGTCCTCTTCTTTTCTCTTTCTCCAAGCTCTCTACCCTCTTCTCCTCGCCTTTCTTTCTTCCTTTCTTTCTTCCTTTCTTATATTATTATGTATTTGTGCATTTGGGCGTACCCATGACAAGCTATGCTTACTGGGATTCGCATCGCCTTTCTTGTAATACAAGTTCTTAAATTATACAGTCAAACCTGCTTTAGTGACCACCTGTCTACAAGGACCACATTTTTTGTTTCCTTTGAAAATGGTTACTCATTGAAACATGTACTTAAGGAACCTGTCTACAAAGACCACCTGTCTACAAAGTCCACTTTTTGTGTTTCCCTTGGGCGGTCGCTATAGACAGGTTTGACTGTATTCATGTTCCTAGGTATAAATTGTATTGTTTGAACAGATGTCGAATATGTTGTCAAATTGAACGGAAGAAAATAAATATTAATTTGATTTTGATCATGTTGGAATGGACTTCCATTATTCATAACAAGGTATCCTCTCAACCTGATTAAGTATAAGGATTTTACCAATGAGATATCTTTTGTTTCTATTCTTCTGTTTCCTGAAGGATTTGAGGGTGACAACACAGGATCGTGATGAACAGTGCCATCTAGTGTCAGAGCATGTCAAAACAGAGACACAACTCATGTCAGAAGCCACACAGGTACACAACATCTCACGTTGTCTCTTTGGATGGTATTCCGGTAGCGCGTACTAAGTTAGTCCACACCTTTATGGAGTGCCTGTTGCCAACTCATTTTCCCTGTACAGATTATTTTAATCCTTCAATGAAAAGTGTCAAAAAAATTAATTTGGCAATGAAATGGGAAGAAAAAGATAATATAAGTATGAACTGAATTTCAACAAAGTCTTTGGTATATTATCTTTGTCATGAATATTGAAGGAGGAAGATGAAACCTAGCATTCCATAGAAGTGTGAACTAAAATTCTTGTTTAGTCTGGACTTAGTCCCGGCTTAACTTATGAGAATACCACCCTTTGTGTTTTAATTGCAAGTTCATGGAGATATTAAAGATGACTGTAACTTCCGTTTGGAGCCAGAAGACCATTATCACATATTATCAGGCAATAATTTAATTTTAGTACCCAGGACATTGTCATTTGTATCTTTGCTGACAAATTCATATTTCTTGTAACTTGATTTTCCAACTTGCATGCAGATCTGTGTATCAATAGGTATAATATGTGTCAAAACCTACATAATAATAATAATAATAATAACATCAAATATTTAGGAGCGCTAAAAGAATTTGAACATGTGATTTTTCTTTTGCATTTATTCAATCTTTGCTATAGTAAGAGCATTCAATTGTGTTGTACATGTGTTCTTCATATACATGAGGGATAACTGTCCTCTGTAATGAAGATTTATTGTTGTTCTTTATCAGCTGCTCTCTACTGCGGATAGCAGTGTGACTGACGTAGGAGGGCTCCACGCCAAGCTGGATAGGAAGAGGACGGTGGAAGCACACAACAAGTCAGCGCAGGAGGTGTTTGCAGAGAGCTTCCACAGCTATACCTCAGACATCAAGAGCTCCCTCTCCAGGCTGAGGGAAGAGCAGCAGGGAAAATGCACTTCAATGCAGCAGCAATTCGGTAGGTTCTAAACCTTGTTATCATACTTCAAATTTCCTGTTGTCTTCATTTGGCTGTGTGATTAGAGTAAAAAGGATGAAACAATACTTGTGTGATCAACCACATGATGAAATCTGAATTTTTCTGGGTAATTATTATCCTTAGGCTGCCTGGCTGTTTGAGGTATCATAACATTTCTCTATATATTACTGGTTGCATAGTACATGTTGCTTGAAGGGAAAGTCCACTGTGAAAATTTATTTGTTTTGTTAAAAGCTGCTTATATACAGGGAGGTGCTTCAAAAGTATGGGACAGTGTTGCCAATTTGCATTTGATCATTTAAAAATTTAGAAATTCAAAGCTTTCTTCTCCTTTATAAGATATTCCTAAAGCTTTCTTGCTTCTGTCATTTCTATGATTTAATTGTTTAAACCAACTTGATGCAAGAGTGGATTTCCTTTAACACTTCACATGAGAATTTCACTTATCAAGCAATGTTGCATTTCTTCAAACAGAGTTCATGATCAGCAAACGAACCAAAGAAGCCGGTGACCTACGAGCTTCCCTATCAGATATGGTCACCTCGGTCAAAGGTCATTCTGCGGGCATGATGGAAGAGAGTCAGAGAAAGAGAGAGGAGTGGGAGAAATGGTCCAATGATGCCTGTGCTGAGCATTCAAAATTCAAGGTAAGAATTTAATCTTATTTTGTTGACCTTTACGATATATTACCCAATGCTCAAAGTACAACACCAACCAAAATCTCAAGTTCAGCCCTAGATCCAACAGACCAACACTGTAAGCAAAACTAACCCTACATCTTACCTAAAACACAATTGCAACTGAAATCCTTACCCCTTTATCTTTGGTAGAAATAAGCTAGAACTGTAAAAGTTTTTTCAATGATACAGTCAAACTTGCTTTAGTGACTGCCTGTCTACAGAGACCACATTTTGGTTTCCCTTGATAATGGTTTGTCATTGAAACATGTACTAAGGAACCTGTCTACAAAGACCACTTTTTTGCTTCCCTTGGGCAGTTTGACAGTACCTTTTAATGGTGAGAGCTTCAAAAATCTTCACATGCAATGGGTAACTGAAACTATAGTTTCAAAGTTGTTTCAGGGTATATACATTTTCCAGTGTTTATTCCTTAAACAGCCAGGATCAAAGTTTTCAGAGTTTGTTCTTATTTGCATTTTTCCTCCTACCGTCCTACCTATCTGATTTCTGAATGCAACGTTCAATCTTTAGTTGCTAATCGCTAAAGAATGCATGCATCATGACTATTTCATGACTTCTTCAGTTTTCATATTGGGAGTGATCAAAGTTCTTACCATACTGATTCAACTCTCTCTTTCTCTCTCTCTCTCTCTCTCTCTCTCTCTATCTCTCACTCTCTCTTTCTCTCTTTCTCTCTCTTTCTCTCTCACCCTCTCTCTCTCTCTTTCTCTCTCTTTCTCTCTCACCCTCTCTCTCTCTCTCTCTCTCTCTCCTTCTCTCTCTCTTTCTCTCTCACCCTCTCTCTCTCTCTCTCTCTCTCTTTCTCTCTTTCCAGGAGGATGTAATTGATAGTATGAATGATTTCCATAGCAACCGTTTCCTGACTGCCATGAACATGCTTGCAGAGAAGCTGTCATCTTTGACCGAGTCACTCAATGAATGTCGCACAGACATCAAGACACAGGTAAAATCATCTGGAAAATGTTTCGACTTTTCTTCATCGTTTTATCTTCTGAAATGACAGTACAGCTTGCAATCTAATGATTTTTTAATTGCATCTTATTATTGATTAATGCTCAAGATATGAATATTACAATTACCATGCAGAATCTAGTCTATGTGCATTTCGCAGGAAGTCCTATTTGCGTGCGTTCTCTCTTTCTCTCTCACTCAGTTTTCTTCCCTTCTTCCTTCCCCTCTCTCTTTTTGTCTCTGAATGTGTACCTCCCTTTCCTCCCTTTTCTCTTCCTGCTTTCTATCAGTCTTCTTCCCTCTCCTCCCCCGCTCCTCTCTCTCTCTCTTTCTACTCTTTGTTGTGTTCACTTAGACCAGTGTGCATATGTGTAGAAAATTTGATGGTTTCATCCTCCTTTCATGCACCTTATCTCATTATAGATCAATAGCCAATCTGAGACTGTACAAGCATGCATTGAGAAACAGCTTGACCAAGTCAACGTCATGACAACGACAGTTGAAAAGTTCTCTGACCATCAGAGGAGTAAGATATCGGATCTTTCTGGTCAACTGGACATGCTCAAGGATCAGGAGAGACACCGCAATCAAGTAAGCTATACTGAGCAGTCACTTTTAGCTGCAATTTTGTTGTTCTTTGTTTCTTTGTTTGTTTGTTTTAAAGGGAATTTATGACCCATTGCTTCTCATTTGTCTTCATGAAAGGCTGTACAATTAGAGGAGCTTAGTGAGTGAAAGTGTTAGAGAAAAAAAACTCTGTCAAAGATGAAGAACATTTTTCAAATCATCAAGTCAAAAGTAATCCTGGTATAAATATATCCCATCCGCAAACCTGTAATGTAGTGTGATGTCAGAAGTGAAGAGCTTGCAGATTTGTTTTTATACTCAGATTTACTAAAAATATCATTTTTAATTGATCATTTTTAAGGTGACTTGAATACATGTTTTTGAGGCCATGTTACCATCTTTTACCATACATCAGTACAATAAAAGAGCTCCATTTAATGTTCATTTAAAAATACATTGGTGATGATTAAGGCTTTGTGCTCCATGGGGGCTCCTGCAATATCTTCTAGTTGATCCCACATGTGCTTGAGGCTTTGTTTCATCAAAGATTGAAGTTTAGGGTTGTGATTGAGTTTGGGGTTGATTTATTGTTAGGGTAAGGGTCCAGGGTTTTGGAGCGTGGATTGTGAAAATCATCTTCTGGCAACGACATCGTAACATGCCTGTCCAGTGTGATTTTTAATTTCTGTACATTGTTTCCTCCAGGACATGATGAAGTCTATACAAGGCCTGTTTGCTCAGAGGGAGGAAAGCTTTGCTTCAGAGACCACCAAGGTAAATATACAACAAAATTGTCATCGCCTAATTTCTTCAAATCATGCTGGCAATGTTGCTTGGAGGTTATATAATACTTTCCAGTGCTCAAAATAAGCAGTTGCTCTGGTGCTAGCGATCGCCTCCAAACCCTGCTGGGCGATCTTATAGTCCTACTCTTGTTGCCCAGGTGACACCCCCAGAAAAATCTCAATGGTATTATTGTTCTATGTGAACTATTGTGTTCTATGTGAACTTGATGCAAATCACTGTAAATGACCACCAAAGTTGAATATGATCTACATGTAGGTTGGCCAACCCAAATGATAAGAACCTTCCATCATTTTATTTACTACAGAAATATCTTGCAAAATCACGGTTTGTTGTTTGTCCTGCTTGAACATGTATCTTATATTGAATCATAGAAAAGTTTGAAAAATCTATTTTCTCTGCTTGCGGTTTTTCTGTTTCATTCAGCTCCAAGAACAATTGGAAGAAGCATCCACCGATACAGAAAGTGTAAAGACCAGCATACTACGGTAAGCAAGATCATAGTACCATTAATATGCATTCTTTTGAAAAGAATAAGCAGGCACACCATCACACAGCATTATAACTAATAAATATTCTGAAAGTCCATTGTTTCTATATGTAGTAAAAGAGTTTTTATGCCTTTTTCTTCTTCTCCTTCGTCTGCTCTCTTCCTGTATTTTGGATTTTTGGTTCTACCGGTACTTTTCTTTCCTAACCCAACATTTTGTCTGAATCCAGTTGTTCTCCTGTATGCTCTCATGGTTTATTTGATTGTTTATCTATCTCCAGTCAAGAAACTTCTGTACAAGAGTCCTGTGAATCCTTTAGGAATGCACACAGAGAATCAAGTGAGCGTCTCATTTCAAGTGCTGACAGTCATCACGAAAAGGTTGGTATGAAGCAACTCATCGGAGAAATCATTACTGTCTTAAAAATATCAATGAACATGATTATAAAGGGAAATGATTCATGGTTGAGCATCTGAGAAATGAAATTCAAGAGAATTTACAGCATCCTTTTGTAACAGTTTAATTCACTGTTTCATTCACTTGGATAATTCTCTACATTTGAAGCTTCTTACATACATGTACTATTCATGCACATTCTGCTACTGTAAATTTGAATCTGAAAAAATAAAAATTAAGAGTGTTTGCAGCATTATTTTTAGTGCATTTTAATTCACTGCATTTAGATAGTTCTTTACATTGAAGCAATTTTCTGTTTTAACCAATCTTTTTACAGACTGTTGCTCAAGTTGAAGACATCAGGCAGCACAACACCTCCATGGAGGAATCGGTGAACACACACACAAACACACAGATAGAAAGACAGACGCAGCACATGGAGCAAGTCTGTGAAAATGTCAAAGGTCACATGGAAGAGATCTCGCAGCATGTCACCAAGCAGAAAGCTGACAAAGAGGTTAGCCTATTTGATTTTTTGTATTTCTTGCCAATTCATTTGATATCATGAAATGATATCTATATGTATTTTAATTTTACAAGGTTTAAAGTTTGTTTCTTCTTTCTAATTTCAAGGACAAGGATTTTTTAAGATGATAGCTGATTGTCTTTCGTGAAACATGACAACTTCTTCATTGGTTTAATGAGCAGCTGTAATTGAGTCTTGATCTTAATCTACTCAAGTATTCAATGTAGGCGTGTTGTCTTTCCTCTAGTGTGACAATAACATCCCTAAAAATCAAAAAGTGGCTAATTGAAAGGCAAGATATTCGGCTGCTATGGTACAAATCTCCCTAAGATTATTGTCAACACTTTATTTTGAAACATAGAGAAAATATATTTGCATGTTCACTGTTGTTCCACTAAAAATATGATGTTTGCATCTTCGTGGTTGCACATATATTGCAACAGATCACACAATCAAAAGATTGTTTTTTATTTTTCATTGAAAATAGGCAATGACCATTATTGCATCAGATCACACAAGCATAAGATATTTTTTCCCATTGAAAATAGGCAATGACCATTATTGCATCAGATCACACAATCATAAGATTGTTTTTTTCCCATTGAAAATAGGCAATGACCATTGAGCATGAGGCATCCGATGAGACACTAAGCAGCACCGTGGACAAACAACTGACCGAGATGACCACCACGGTCACTGATTGGACGGAGGATAGCAAGGCTCGGTCAGAGGACATGACCAGCTGGACGGCAGAGATGGAGGAAACGGTGGAGAGTGGACTGAAGAGAGTGGAGGGATTCCTGACACGGGACTTGAAGGAGGATGTCCCAACAGGTTGGTTTGTTACCATGGCGATGTCGCTATTATTGCTGGTCAAAGCCAGAGCTGCCAACCAGTACGATTTTTAGAAGTAAATACGGCAGTATTTTGTGTGTGTGTGTGTGTGTGCTATTTTCAATGGCGAAATGCCCATTCCTCCTGTAAGGTATCCTACAAGCATCTCATATCCGCAATTTGGGGATGTTCATTGGTTCATCGGACACACCAGTCATGACGAAACTATGCATATTCAACCAATGATCCATTAAAAAAATCTTCCTGTATGTAAGAATTGTAAGAGGCATTGATCTGTGTGTTTTTTTTTTTAGAATACAATTTTTGTCAGTTAACCTTATTTTAACTGGGCTATTTCACCGATCGCCGCGAAAATTTGCATGAATGTCAAGTGAAGTGTATAGAATACTATGGTAATTTCAATTTTTTGAAAAATACATTCAATTTTCGGAGTAGTCAGTAAATTACTACAGTTAACATAGGGTTTTGAACTCCAGAGGTTGGCCGGTCTGCAAAGCTGGTTGAGAGAAATGATTATGGTACTGGAAGTCACTTCATGAAACTCCAAATAGTCTCCTCCCATTGAGATTGTACATGAAAGGGAATTATTCGGCACTCCATGATTTAACCTACATGTATGACTGTGCATGTGTACATGTGTCACATCTATCTCTCTCAGTACGCTATGCTCAGATGGTGGGGATACCCTTACATACATACCACCACCATCAGTTTTCAGCGAGGACCTAAAAACCGCAGAAAAATACATTCACAGCAAAGCTGAATTTTCGAATGATTCTTGCAAGGCATTAGTGAAAGGCATAAATAAGCTAACATGGTTATTAACAGAAGGACAGTGGAAAGAAAAAAAAAATTCACATGCTCACACATGTTATCAGTCAGATGTTTTATAATATGGCAGTTTTGGAAAGATATTCTATTTCTATACAGTACTTATTATAATAATGTATATCTGTAAAGCGCTTTGAGAGGGCCTGCGGTCCTGAAAAGCGCTATATAAGAACAAATTATTATTAATATTATTATTATTATGAAACAATTCTTACTAAGACTAATTTGTAATAGACTTGTTCCTGTTACTAGAATTTCACAAGCACCACAGGTTCTATTTTCGGGGTTGCTTCTTGCTTTGTTTATCTAAAACTTTATATGTTGGAATGAAAGGTATACCTTTAAAAAATGTTAAAAATGGGGGGAATCTTGCAAAATGCTGGTGAATAATTCTTGAACTGATTTTTCCACCAAGTTGTTGCATTCATGAACGTCATTTCATCACTATGCACATACAGGTACTACACCTCAGCGCAAGCACTTCTCCTATCCTCGTGACCTGACCAGCACAGAGCCCCATGGCATCATACTCAACAGGTTCCGTCAAGAATGCGAGCTGAATCAAGCAGCCGATATGCCTCTCCCTGATGACAGTATTGCAAGCGAGGTGAGAATATTGTAGCGAGAGGTTGTGATTGAAATGTTGCCTTCTTGGAGTATTTTGTATATAATGCCTGAATGTATTAATAAATTCCATTGTTAAAGTCTTGTGAAAAAATAAATTACTGAATGGACGTTTTTTCAAGTTTTAATGAAAACAGTGTTGTTCAATTATTTTTTTCAAACAGAGTGATGTTTAGAATCTTTTGTTGTTCATACATGTACCACCCCCCAAAAGTTAAGATAATATTGTAAAAATGAGTTAGAGACAAGGAAAGCAAATGCCAGGTTTAGATCTTGAAGCTTTGCAATCTTTCTCATTGCATAATTATTTCAATTAGCCCTCTTCACTACATACAACATCTTGCTTTCATGCATAGGTTTTTTCCCCCTTAATTTCAAATCTAATACATTTTACATATTTCCTAGTTATATAGTTACCTGATATTGAATTGAATTGAATTTTATTAGTACCGGTAAACTTCATTCATATACATGAACATTTTGTTTCACAATACATAAATAAAACAAATATATAAATAATAAAGTATAGTTTCTCGAGTAATCGCAAATTAACAATAAACAATCTAGCGTGTATGTATGTACAGTGTGGTAAATGATATTATTACAAATTAATTATATGACACGTACCATTGTCTTTGATCATGTATAGTTTTTTTTCTCACTTTAATTTCAAATCTGATACGCTTTACATATTTCCTAGATAGTTACCCGGTATTGTAAACATTGTCTTTGATCACAGAGTCCATCAGACATGTCTCTCCAGTCAACGAAGGAGATGAAGATCGGCCAATCAGAAAGCTTCCTCGGTGATACCAGCACAGACGCCAATGAGAGTACCTTATCAAGATCACAATCTCAACAGTCTCTTACTTCTAAGGTGGGTGACATTTTTTTGTTAATGATTATTTTATTTCTCACGCAAAATATAATACAAGAATAATTATATTACACAAAAATATGCAATGAAACGACAAATATAATGGAAAAAGCACGAGAAAAGAGGAACTAAAATTGATGAGAAAGTAGTAATAACTGATAGTATGATATGATGTATCTAAGTTTTGATGAAGCTTCACGGAAGAATGCTTCTACTTAAAGATAAAGTTGAGTTCTGGTAAAAAAAAAAAAAAAAGAATTCTCACAGAATCAAATTAAACTTACACTGAATGTTCAAGATTACAAATAAATGTCATTTGCCAAACAATTTTGGTAGAAAATGTATACTGGCTGAGTAATGAGCATAGAATAAGGAAATCAAGGTATACTAGCCCCGACACCATTTGTGTAGTCCCATATACATCTTTCTGTGTACAGTGCTTGTTACTTTACCAAGACTGGGCCACATTTATTATGATTTTGATGACTCCAGAACCTTGCAGTACACACCAATACTTACATGCTACATGATCAACTTTTTCTGATTCATTCCACACCTTTTCTTTCACAATGCAATCACATGACCAGAACTCAACTTTATCTTATTCGAAAGCTACTGAAGTCTCCTCTCGGTCACGTAGTGTATTTTTAATTTATTGAAAACATGCCCTCTTTTAACCAAAATATCATCCCAAATACACATGATGATTCTTTGGCTTTTATGTCCAAAACCTTTCTCACTGTCATTTAACAAGAGTTTTGATGATTGAAAAACTGGCCAAATGAAAAAAGGAACATTCTGGGGATTTGTGCCTAGCATTTGCCAAGTTGAGATGGAGCAAACCCTCAAAACTAGAGGTGCACAATCTGCATATGAATGAAAGGAATGGTCTGTTATGAGAAATGAGTTAGGTTTCCTTTTAATAGGCCCTTTTGTTATTTTGCTAATCTTTCAATTTTTTTTCTTTCTCCTCTCCACAGAGTATTGATGGAGACGACACGAAGGAAAACTTTGTAATGCCCAAATCTGTGACCACCGCCCGCGGCAAGAAGCTGCCAAGAGATCGCAGCAAGAACCGCACTCCCAAGACCAAGTCACGATTGCCACTCCGCTCGGCAAATTCTGTCAATTAAGAAAGCTAGCCATGTGTTTCTCTGCCAGATTACTTGGGACCGAAAGCGTATAAGGTTATCTGTCTGTTTATGCATCAGGAATTTTATATTATGAACAGAAATAACTTGAAAGGTGATGAAGAGGAATTCCCAAATTTGGCTGAGATACATTTTCATGAGGATGTAAGATCAAAATTGATTAGATTTTGAGCCTGGGAGATATGTAGATCATGTGTAGATTATTCACTATTGATAAAGATCTTGCTTCTGTGTGACTTAAAATCTGAAGAAAGTTGAAACTTTTCTACAAATTGCAGGAGTGTATAGAAATGAATTGATCATTCTAAAGTTCAAGTGTCATATGTCATACAGCTCTGAAATCTTTTTAGAGGCTGTATGTCTTTTTCTATAAATGTCATAGGAAATACAGCTGTAAACACTTTCATGACTGCAAACAGAAACTCAACTCATGTATGAGTGTGAGTGATGACATACTCTTTTCAAGTTCATGTATATATTTTCCAGTGCCTTTTTGCAAAAGAGTCATTCATTTGAGCAATTTGTACTCTTAATTATGTAATAGTTCAAAAGAAAATCAATACAACATCTAATTCATAATGAGTATTTCACTGCAGTCATTTAAAAGAATGCCGCCTATATAAGGCTTATGCTTGGAGCAAACTTATAAACCATTCAAGATGACAAGCTTGGTCCATGGTGTTTATGATAGGAACATGTTGCAGTTTTGTCACTTTTTAGATTTTATATATGTTTATAGAAACTAAGCATGTTGTTTGAATTGGATAACTTACATCAATAATTTATTCAGATAAAAGGTTTCTCATCGAGCGCTGACAGAAAATCAATGGTTTATCAGAAAATGATGTCTATTCCCATCAGTTATTTGCAAACACAGCGTAATACACAATATTATTGCATGAAAATAGCTTGTAAAATATTTATGTATATATGGAATACTTATTATCTCATCATAGTGATGCAACACTTTTTAATCTGAATGTACTAATGTTGACATTTTATAAATACATGTTTTGATGACATGTCTGCACTTCACTGCACTGTTACACCATGTTATAGGGATGAACTTGTGTTCAGGAAAGGTTATTTAATAATTGTCTATTGATTATATTTAGCCCAAGGGGGGGGGGGTATTCCCATGATATATAGTAGCTGTGAAATAGAAAGAAAAACTAATTCGGATTTGACTGAATTCATTTTTCGTTTAAATTTCTTTCTTTTTGGGTTTTTATTTTTTTATTTGTATTTTGTTTTTTAAAAGTAAAAACTCTGGATAGGAAAAATTCAATTGAAGGAAATGTGAATGCTAACTAAATGAGCTCATGAAGTACTATCACAAATGAAGTGAGTTTTCGGATGGGTAACAGTCTTTTTTTAATAGCTAATGAGCAAAGTAAATGAGTATACAATTTGAAGTTATGTATGATAATGAATAGTGTCTGTCTTCTCATAATTCTTGCTCAGAAGTCAACACTGGGAAATGCCATTGTAAATTGAATGTATATTTCCTATAATTATGTTGCTACAAGATATTTTCACTCCATTTTATGCACCTAAAAAGTTAAAAGCCATGTAAACTTCATTAGTATAGCCTCATATATTTCTTATCTAAATACTCAACCTTGTATAATCATTAATAAGTATGTGTATTTATTTTTCTAATAATTTACAAATCCTTTGTTGCATCTATCTAGCCATCTACCTACCAATTGCTGTTGAAGAACTAAGTATATTTCAGCTCAGCAGTCAGTACTACTTCCTTACATCTACTGTATTAATAAATTTGCCTCTGATCAAGTTGTCATAGAGTCATGATCAGCAATACCCATTTGCCCATGTTGCTGCTGCCCAACCCCCCTTACCCACCCAAACTTCTCTCATACTAAGACAATTTGCAATCAATTTGAGTCAAATTCATTTCACCTATGAAACATCTTAAGAAGTTTATTCAACTTGTAATCTGTCTAGACATAACCTGCTGAGAGCCAGAAGGGCATAAAGTCCAACATCCGTCTGGAGCCAGAAGGGTGCCTGCTCATATATACTTTGATGAAGAGCTATAAACACCCTTTTTGTTCCAATGATATTCTCAACCTAACACAGATACCATTCCCTTCTCGCTCCAGGCAGACTGTCTTTCTCAAAAATAAGTCTGTAACGTAGCTGATTTACTCTTTTATCTTATCATATTCTTGTAAATAGAATTGTATAAAAATGTACAAGATTATTAGTACATGTTTTATCATGTGATGAACTGTATTTATGGTGAATTGATGTTGTGGACCTATTTTGATTAAAGCTTGTACAAACTAAACCATCAACTGATTTGTATTTTTTATTCAGTCGTTGTTATTAATTATCATATGTTCGATCCAACTAAGTTGTGATTACATGGGACATGTATGGTATATCTGGTTGAAGCTGATTATATTGTTTTACTTTTTTAGTCCCTTGACCAAATCTGATGATATAAATAAATGTATTCATCATTACTCCCAAAATGCAAAGCCTAGCCAGTCCAGACACCTCATGCAAAAGAAAAATGTAATTTCTATCTTCCTTGAAAAATCAGAAACAACTCCTAAGAGTAAAACCATGTTTAGGATGTTTGTTTTTATTTATGTTATTCTTCCTTCTGTTGTTGTTCTTAACTTTTATTGTTTGATTGATTTTTTTTTGGATTTCTTTGTTGACATGTTATAATTACCAATTTAATTCCTGTACCTTACATGTATTGTGTGTCTGAAAGGCATAGGTATACATTTTTAAAGTTTTTAAACTCAAAATTAAATGCTAGTAGGAAAAGGGTGATACAAAGACATTAATAAATTATTGCAGTTATTCAGTATGTAGGATTAGAAACTTATCTCTAATACAGGGATGCCAATTTTCAGGCAATAGCCTGAATTCAGGCCCTGGCAAGTTATTTTCAGACCATAGTTTAGGCCTTTTTGTGTACAAAATAGCTCATTCTAGGTGATTTTCAGGCCCTCTGATCAATTCTAACTGACATCTACATGTAGTTGCATGTTAGGTTTAATACAGGCAATGTTTAGTGATGGTCTGATCATGTGGTATTTAAGTATGGAACTCGTGCAGATCGTGTGGTTTGGTGGAGTGTGTCCAGGCTTCGGTGGACCTTGACAGGACGTTTTTGGTCTTGGCAGCTAGGGGGACTCCCGTTATGATAAACAGTCTTCCATGTTTTGTCTCTCTCTGTGGCTTCATATTACGCATTATATTATGTTTATTGATTTAAATATTTAAAACTTGATAAATAAATTTAACTTGATAAATACCCTCTGTCGGGGTGGCTTTTGACACACCTATCACTCACTTATATTAATGTGCTAGGTTTGTACAGCATTTAGCTTGGATAAAAATATGTACACATATATACATTTTTATGAGAGTAAAGAGCAGGTTTTCACCTGTAGGTCACATATTAGTTCACATGTTCACATGTCGTGGTCGAGTGGTTTAAGGCGTTTGACTGGAGATGCGAAGGTCGAGGGTTCGAATCCCGACACGGCACTAATTTCCTTTGGCAAGATATTAACCTGCACTTGCTACTCTCCACCCAGGTGTCAAATGGGTACCCGGTAGGATGCGGCCGTCATTGTTAGTCAAACAGCTTGTGAGCGTCAAGTAACGCCCGGCTGGAATGCTCCCCAGGGAGTGGAGATTGTGCACACAGTGTGTGCGGGCAAGCACTGAATCCAATGACCGGGGTAATAGTATAAAAATTAAATATTATTATTATTATTATTATTATTATTATTATTATTATTATTATTATTATCATTATGTCATACAATGATTTTAAAAGCCTTCAAAGTTTAAAACTGTCCATTTTGGGGCGTTCTGCGTGGTATAAATCCTCTGATATGCCAGTTTAATGAGTGTCAGGACTTATCCTCTAGACTTTCAAATCTCGGACAACTTCAAGGAGAAGAAACTAAAAGGGACATTTACTCTTTTAGACTACCACTTTTGGGCCCCGTCTTACAAAGAGTTGATATCAATCGTAACTTATTTGCGATTGATATCAATCGTAACTATGTACATAAGAGATAGGAGACTGCAAAATTGCGATTGATTGGAGGACTTACGATTGATTTGGTTCTAACCAAAAAATCATAAATCCAATTATTCCTAATAGAAACCTATTTGAGCATAAATCTTAGAGGTAGTTTGGCCTTGGGTACTTGTCCTGAGTGACTTGCTCGGGGTACCTGCTTAGGAGTTTATTGCTATCATGGCTTTGGTGGTAGTTTTGCAAAGGAGCTATTTTCCACGAATAGGTATACTTAAACAAAAATACTATCTTTTTGTAGCATGCAGGGCTGAAATGATCAGCACCCAGAAAGTGTTGGTATTCCTCTCCTCTACAATAAAGGTCCTATTATTATAATTATTTTCCGTGTCCAAAAAACGTGATGAAAGTCAGTCATGTATATATGCCAGATCCTGTGTCTATACTTTAATATTAACTGAATAACAAAATGTAGTGATCCGCCATTTTAATTTAGAGCTTGTGTTGTGATTGTTTTTAGATTATGCTATCGATCTCGTGAATTTGGGGTTTTCTTGTTAATTCATTTTTTGCTAGCTTTGACAGCTTTGAAAAGAGTTTGTATACGTTTTTAAATCGCAACGGAAATATGAAAATGAAATAAGTATTTAAAACGATTAATAAAAACAATGTGATTACCAACTTTCCACTACACCATTTACTTTATTACTAAGCTTGCTTTTATAAATTTCTTGTTGCGCACGATAATACAAATGATAGTTACAGTAATGTTCTGATTTTTCATGCTTTGTATCAGCAGCATCAGAATTGAACGAAGCAATCCAACATCCCAATACAGGGTGTCACTGAAAATAGAAACACAAGCTAATATTCGTAAATTATCAATTATCCTAATTTTTTTTTTTGTTACGCTTGCTTTTATAAATTTCTTGTTGCGCACGATAATACAAATGATAGTTACAGTAATATTCTGAATTTTCATGCTTTGTATCAGCAGCATCAGAATTTAACGAAGCAATCCAACATCCCAATACAGGGTGTCACTAAAAATAGAAACACAAGCTAATATTCGTAAATTAGTCAATTATCCTACATTATTTTCATCACTATTGTTTACATCACCGAAAAGCCCATTTTCCTTCATATCATATGACAACAAGAATAGTGATTTAACGATAAACTTGAATCTCATTTTTTCAGGGACGCCCTGAGCAATAAAGTTTATACTTTAACAAAATTGGTAACGAAAGCAACCAAAATAATCTAGAATAAAGTACAATTTTCTGAGTAAAAATTAAGGAGCATATGAAACTGTATAGAAAGTATAATCATGGAACACCTAGGTAACTTCAAGAACTGCATATATTTGTCATTATTTGACAAAGGTTTAAAGCCAACAATTAGTATATTTTGTATCTCCTTAGTTTTTTTTCTCCATTATTTCTTCTTCAATTGTCTATTTTTCGTCGACCACCGCAGGAGTATATATATATATAATATACATGTAGACCTACAAATATTTTTTCTACGAGATTTAACAAATCTGTCGGTCAACTGAATCTGGTATCCAATGGCCCGTCTCTGGGGTCTATTGGTTAAGGCACTGGCGTTCTCAGCCAGTGACACAGTTCGATTCACCTCGGAGACAATTTTTCCTTCAACCTTTTCAAAGAAATAAAAAAAGAAGACAGCAATGGGAAACTTTGCTTTAAGCTACATACCGATCATTGTCTAATTTCCCTACGCATTACATATGTATATACATATCATATCATAACTAAAAATAACTAAAATGAATTGAGCATAAAAATCATCTTACCATTATCATCACCATTATACTTTTTCAAAAATGTATAGACCTCTTCTCTGAGTAATACGCCACAAAATATCATGTTGAAAAAAAGCATCTGACCAATAAGGTACATATAAATTGTACATACATAATTTTGTCATTGTATAATTTCGTATAGTATACAACATAACAAACAACATTCACCTGGTTGCCCGAATATGTGGTGACGGAATATTGGTAATTGCAAAAAGGTCGGGGAAGGGGGATGTGATAGTGGGTTTCTCTGTGGTCTAGTGGTTAAGGCATTGGCGTTACCAGCCAGTGACCCAGTTCGATTCCCGACGGAGACAATACTTTGCATATAAGAGGAAAGAGGGCAGCAATGGGGGACCTTGTATTTAAGCTACACAACCAGGCGCGTACGCAGGATTTTTTCAAGGGGGGGGGGGGGGGGGGGTTAACATTTATAAATCGGGCCGAAAATTTCGCAACGACTCAGCCGACCGCTGAATAAGCGGGGGGGGGGGGGGGGGGGGGGGGGTAAGAGGACACTTTTTTTTCTTTTTTTTGGTCTCGAAATTTGAAAATTTGACATTTTGCTCCGTTGAGGGGGGGGGGGGGGTTTACACACATAGAAATACCAAAGGGGGGGGGGTTAACCCCCAACCCCCCCCCCCCCTCTGTGTACGCGCCTGTACACAACCACTATTATCTCATTTCCATTCGCAATGTACATACTTTATATATCATGTCATGTCTAAGAATGATAAAATGAATTTTAAAAAACCCAATCGTACCATCATCATCATATTTCTTCAACAATGAGAAGACCTCTCCTCTGAGTAATACACCACCAAAGTATATTATAAAAAATAATCATCTGATCATGAGTGCTTCGATAAGATACATATACATTGTACATATATAATTTCGTCATTGAAATATGATAACATATATGTGGTGACGGACTTTTGGTAATTGCAAATAAGGTCGGGGAAGGGGATGGGGGGGGGGGAATTTTGTGTGTTTTAGTAGTTAAAAGGCATTGGCGATCTCAGCCAGTGACCCGGTTCGATTCCATGCGGCGAAAATTGTTCAACCTTTGGAGAAAAAAAGAAATAAAAAAAAGGACAGCAATGGGGAACTTTCATGCTACGCAACCATTATTTTCTAATTTCATTTCGTATTATATACTCAGCCCTTTCCCTCCCCTGCCTAGTATGCCAGTAAAAATGCATGTTCTCTTAATAAGACCGTTTTCTTGCTGAAAAATAAATGAATTAAAAGCCGTTTACAAGTTTTCTAAATCAAGTAAGAATGAATTCATCGCTTTATTCAAAACCACAACTTTGGCCGTTTCAAAATCGTGGGTGCCACTGCATGGCATTTTTGTTACTGCTCTAATTTCCTTTGCTGACATTTGTTGAATCCATTGGTAGATTGACGGCAGTATCACTTGCTGCAGAAGCAGCATCATCATCACTCCTCTCATTGTCATCCTCTGTATCCTCAGGGAGACTGACCTTAACGACATTAGTGCTTGTTGCATCACGTTCCTTGGTGGAACTTGGGAGATCTTAGTTCATAGGTGGTGTGACCCCTTCCTCAACCTGGCTCACATCATAGGTCGGATTGAACATACACATAGGATCGGGATTGTCGTCTTTGGTAGGCAACAAGTCATTACCCGAGGCTCCTGGGCGCAGATTGCTAATCACGCCAGCTGATGAGGATGGGGCCGTCGAGTTCATCACACCGCTGGAAGTGCTTGCTTCTTTCTTTAGAAACTTGTCGAAAGAAGTCAGCCCCCATTGCTTACGGATGTCAGGATTCCGGACGCAGTACAGTAGAAAGATGAACAGTCCTTGGAAGGAGTTAAGGACGATGAAGATTGGCTGAGCCACCTGTTAAACGCAAATGTTTCAGAATTAAAATAATTAGATATATAGCATTCTCTCTCATGTTCTTCAGATACTAAACATATTTGTATGTGATCATCATATCTGAGTTCTCAAGACACTTTTTAGAAGAGATAATATGCTACAGGGGAGTTTGTTGGGTTTACCTGACTGAATAACGGGATTAAAAGAAGATATCCGGTGACCCAAGTCAGACCGAGCAGGAGCAAGATGCAGATCGCGTTCTGGACGCGCTTGATAGTCTCTCGACGTTCTACCTTAGCCTCTTTCATTGTCACCCGGCCAGCGATGTTGGGTGGCTCGAGCAATCGTCGAACCACAAGGGCGAAGATGACAATGTTGATGAGGAGGATGATGGACATGGGGATCAGGAGACCACCGATTTGAGCCCAGAATTGTAGGAAGCACCTGTTGATATTATATGCAGTTGAGTGACCGAATTAAATCAATCAATACTGTCTATCTTAGCGATAGTTATGCGAAGTGGCCATCGTCCTTAGAACATTTTAACTGAAGAATTGTCTTTGTAAATAATTTCCCTTTACTTATTTGGCAATTCCAAGCTTTCTTGTCCCATTCGTTACCAACAACGTCTGCTATTTTTAGTATGTGGTGCTTGTATTCAGTTGTTGGCCTTCTAGAGCTTGGAATATACCACATCCCCATGAAAGTGATACTTAGATATAAATTCCAGACCATGATTGCATACTTGCTAACTCATGATTATACTAAAATATCAAATGTCGTTTAACTAGATTAAAGTATAGAATCGTGATTTTGCTGAATCCAAATTTTTAAGATCATTGGGTATACTCTATGATATGCAATCCAATACTTAAGCTAAATGTTCAAGCGTTACCACTTACAGATCATCAAGGGCGTAAGAGTCTCTAGCAATAGCTCCGGTAAGAACCACGATAAGTGCAGGAATTCCTGAAAAAGTATGAGGAAATACAATTTTCAAAGTAGTTCAGTTGCAACTTCGAGTATTGTTTTTAAAAAATAGTGAAGAAATTACTCATGAATGGCAAAATTTACGAATTCATCTTCATTTCAAGACGATTCCTGTTGCACCATAGTCCGCCCTAATGTGATCTTTCCAAAAGTTACTCCAGTTAGTTAGCATGGCGAAATGAATACAATATCCTGCCAGAATTTAGGAATTTTTTGTTCATTAAAATCAGAGAAGATAAGCATATCCTTTGTTATATAAATATTAAAGGAATTACATTTGATCGCCTATTCATCATTATTTTGATTGCTGAAAGTTGATCGCAGCAAAGCAGGTCGTCGCATCTTGCCAAGCTCATCGTTTTATGAATACTTTCAGTACCTACATGACTTTGTATAGGTTTAAATAATTCGGTCGAAGAATTATGATATACAGATATTCTATCTGGAACTACATACAGGCACTTCATGTTAATAGTAAGCCCTATTCCCGGAAAAAAAATTTAAAGAAAAAAATGTCTTACCCCATGCAGCTAAGAAAGCCTTGATCATGAAATTCTCTTTGTAAGGGTTAAAGATCTTCACAAAGAAGAGGTACATATTGTACCCTTCCACACCCATCCATGCAATGGAGGATAAAACGAAGAAGTGAACTAGGGCCGTCAGGAACCCACAGGGTCCAGCTTGGACCTCACGATAATCTCTAGTAGAATCCAGAGAGATCATGATGACAAATGTCGTGTAGAGGCACAGCAAGGTCAAGCACAAACAGATTAAGATCTGTTTAGGCTGTCCGGTCCTCAAATCCCTATCAAGATTGTAACGTTAAAATGAGATCAGGAAAGTGTCGAAGCAATATTCTACCATGATACCTGTACAGCCTTACCATCATTTCATTAACACCAAAGAAGAAGAAAAACGTCAAACAAGAACAAACAAAAAATTGACGGGGAAAATCTTTGTGAAATGAAGAAGATTACGTAAGTGTGCTTAACTTATCTCTTTTAATACTGGACACAGACCCTCAATACGGCGAGGCATTGTTGAATTAAATTTATCTGGGTGTAGGCCTAACTATTCAATTATATGTATACCAAAGGTGTTCAAAATGACTATGCTTCCTGATGCAAAGAACAACTGCACACCATTAGGCAGAGGGTTTGATCTACGAAGTTGATAGAATATCAATATACAATATTGATAAATATAATGATATTAACAAATGAATATTGTAACCTGTTTATTACCCTCGTCAACCCACCCCTACATTTCATGTTAGTTTCTCTTTTTCTTCTTCTACTTCTTCTTCTTCCTCTCCTCCTCCTCCCCTTGCTCTACCCTCTCTATCAGAACTCTACATGTTTCGGTAGTTCCCAACAGCCCGGCTGATCCAAACATAAGTGATGCCTGCGTGCTGTAGGTTCACACGTATTTCACAAATCATTTGGTTAATACGAGATGATTTAAACAAAAAAGGGGGGAGGGGGGGGGGGTATTCAAATTTGCGTGATTATTTAATTAATTCAAAAAATCTCTTTCATAGGCTATTAAACTTCTCTTTGTTCAAAAGCTACCAACTAAAATAGAAGATAGAAGGACCAGAGAATAATAACACATTCTGTCTCCTTTGTATTACATTAATGAATGCATTTTCTTCTTCGATTGAGCTCACTTGTTCCACAGGTAGGTTGCCAATGTGACAAGAAGACTGAAGATAGAAATACAGCATCCAATGTAAGTCAGGATGTTGTATGCCTTGATGAAGGAACCCTCCTCTCTATGGATATCCTGTAACATGAAAACAATTTGAGCCCAAACGGGAACATCATCCAATGCTCAAATGTAACTGATTATTTGCCCATAAGCTATCATAGTGTCGTTAATTTAAAGCTGGAAATTAGTGATTTATTTTAACAAGAAGGGGTGAAATCTGACATTACTGATGGAAAAAAAGAAGAGTATATCACTGAACTACCTTTCACACAAGAGTCCATACCTTCAAAATGTATTAGATCTCAATATTATTCCATACCCAATTCAGGAAGACCAACTCTATACTCCATCGTTCTTCGGAAGGAATAGGGGAACTGTAAGGTGTCGAGTAATGACCGCACGTCCAAAAACATATATACCAATTATACCATTCTACATGTATTTAATCCCGAGGGACCAACAATACCCCTTTGTCATCGAAAGGATTATCACGCGACAGCTCTAGTATTACTGCGTCTAGTTAGTTGGGTTACAGTACTGTTGTCCGGGGAGTAGTATAATAACAGATATAATAACTGTTTATGTGCTGTTTACTGACCATTATAACAGCGAAGTTGGTAAGATGATCACACGCACAGCGCACGCCCTCCTCATCATAGAGCTCATCAGATGATGTGATTCCAGAAACAAGAACACACCCATCTTGGGACCAATCTTCCTCCTCCTCATCCCAGAATGAGCACATCGGATTCACGTATCCAGACTACAAAAAACAAAGAAAAAATGTATGTAAACCCAAAATCATTTTTTTTTCTTTTAACTAACTTTATTTTCATTAATGCAAAGTTGAAACTTGATTCGACAAGGTTATCAAAGTTCAATACTTGGAAACATTTGAAGTAATGATTATTATAAATTACAAAACGTTTAAATACAGCCCCGGCATAGCACCTGAAGAGCTTTCCGAAAGCTGCTGAGATGTGTGAGATCCCAGGATGGACATGATTTGCACAAGCAGACGATGCCCGTGACATTTCACACATTTTCAGTGCCTGTTTTTCATCTTCTCTTGAGTTCTTTCTCTTACTTCACTACCATCAGGCTAAATGTATAATCTATTGCCTCACTCTAAACCCCGCGCATGGTTTTATTTTGATGACAAATGCAGCGATACACAAATAAAGGAATCTGTCGCTTGTAAACAAACAAGACGCCATTGTATATTTAGCTGCACACACCGTGGTATGTTCGGCGTTTCAAGAGGGAACAAATGTTTTTTTTTTCAAATTGAAAGTCTGGTTTCTTTGATTGTTAATTAACCCCTATCCTGTGTATTTACAAACAAAAGATGTTAGTTATCAGAATCGGTTTCATATCCCCTTTTGAATGGTTTGAAATACAATCACGTTTATATACACTAAACTCATTATAATTTGAGAAATAATAGCTTTGCAATATGTTCATTCTTTATGGGATGTCGTCTGCTTGGGCAGTATTGGTCCATTATGTGACGTCATTAAAACATCGTTATTTTTATGGCGAATCTCTCGTATATCCCAGCTGCTATGGAGGTGGTTGTATTTGTATTTGTATAAATCACCGGATATGTAGTTGACCTAAAACTTGTACGATGGCCATCTGTTAGCTTACCAGTTTCTAGTGATACATAAGTTGACATATTTGTGATTTTCTTTGAATTTCCACTTTAAATAAAGCATGAAAGAAGATATCGATATTTTGGATTAGTATAGTTTAAAAGCTCGTTTATGGGGGAATCAGGGTTTTAAAAAAAAAATTGCTATACATATTGCAAAAACATGTATGTCTACAAATGTAATTATCTATGAAAATGCTGCTAAAGGCAGGTTACAAATATGTATAATAAACAGGAGAAAAAATATTCAGCAATTCAATAGTTATATATGTCGTACCATTATTGTAGAGAAGGTAAAATTGATGAATTCGGTCAAGGCTGCTACTTTCCCTTGACCAAAATTGAGAGAAATCACGGGCGAGTTAGCCGATCGATTGAAGCCTTCATTAGCTGCACTGACTGTGCGCAATGACTTAGAAATGAACAGGGCTGAAGTTGAAAATACATTGAAGTTGACCCGGATGTATTCACCACTGTCATTCGACGGTGAACCAGAGAATGGGGCCGTGGACGAAATGACGGATGAAACTGAAGGTGGAATGTTGACCTGAGCGATGAGGTCTGGTCTGGTAGCAATGACGTCATCGCGGTCATCTTGGGTCAGAGCCCTGATGGTAATATTGGACTTGGTCAGGTCTGAAAGAGTGGATCCAGCTAGTGAAAGTACGAGACCATTCATTACGTCGTCAGCAATTACACTCTGAACCTGTTAAGTGAATAAGAACGGCAATAGTTGATTTGCTTTTAATTCGATTTGACAATGGCTATACTTCAAAGAACAGTAATTCCTTCTACATCTTCACGCTCTTGTTCTTCAAGCTATAAGTAAGGGAAGGGGATATTTGCTCAGGCAGGACCTTCTCTGTAGGAGACGCTCTCCCTCGAAATACTTGTAGTAGCAGATTAGTTATGGTGTCTAAAAGCAATCCATAAAAAACTTTTTTTATTTTATTTGATTTACATTTGATTGTTCCCTATTTCTTTTTTTGTTTTGTATATAATGGAAAAGTTTTTAGGCGATTTCCTCTTTGCACAAGTACACCATGAGCACCTTAACAAATATTGTATTATTATCATCATCATTATTATTATTGTTAGGAATATAGGAATAGGAATTGGGGTAGGGAACCATTGCTCATGCAGGTCTTTCGCTCTTGAATACCCCCTCGATAGATTTGCATTAGCAGATCAGTTGAGGTGTTTAAAAAAGAAAGAATCGTTTATATTTGAATTGGCATATAATTAATTGAATTGAATTGATTTGAATTTAATTTAACTTTATTTGTTTTCAATCACAGTAAAAATTACATTATACATTGTTGTAAAATATAGGCAAAGAAAAATACATTAAAAAACGAAAATAGCAAAGAAAACATGATCAAATATAATAAAAGTATAGAATGGAAAAAAGGTGCATCCGTCAAAGCCACAGGCCGGGATTAGATGAATGGGCGCAATTATCATCAATACTGTTAATATTATAATCATCATTATTTATATCATTAATATTATGCATTAGTAGTATTATCGATACCATTATTATTATTAGCGTTATTGTTATAACCATTATTGTTATCGTTGTTTTCATTATCTTTAAACTAATATTTTTGCTATTACTATTATGATGATAATTGTTATTATTATTGTTTTTCACTATTACTATAATAACAATAATTATTATTATTATCATTATTATTAATGATGATGATTAAAGCGAAGCGATCAGTAACGGGCACAGACGCATTCAAATAAGGCATTATCCGTATTCAAAACTTGATGTATCCCGCACACATCCATTGTAACAATGGATGAATGGTTGTGTCGATATTTTTTTTTAACTCCATGCACAAAATTATAAACTTATAACATAAACTTGGGGATTGAATTCTATATATTTTTAGTAGACTGGTTAACATTAAATTATTTGTTCATAGTATATGATATAAATAAAAAAAATCACCTGTACGGCTACATTTGGCTGCTGAATGTTGAGCATCCCACCATCGGCAACCTCAACACGCCTGATTTGTTCCTCAAAAGCCAGGACTAATTTACTTATTGCCTCACCTTCTTCCTCTGCGGCTTCAAGTTCCTCAGTTTCTACCTCAGCGATATTGTTCACAATACGCGTTACATTTTCTGTTACCTGTCAAATTAAAACAAAAAAGAGGAAGATAATTTAAACTATAGTACGGGAAAGTAGTCAAATCTCGGAAATCAATCTTGAATTAAAAAAATCTGAACGACGATACTGTATTACATAACACGACAGCCTTAACACAGCTGTTAAAGCGGTTTCCACAATTGCTGGACCAACATCCACAAAATTGTCAAAAAGATATTAATAGACAGTGACAGGCCTTATCCTGTCATACAACTAACAAAACATTATAAAACACAAAGACACATTATAAAACAAAGAAAATAGGGTCGGATACGGGGTTAGGCTCTAAAAATTTGTCAATGCTTCCAATATTGTTAAAAGGCAGTTATGGGATTTACCTCTTTCACATCTATGAAAATGTTATACTTGTTTCGGAGGGAAGATTAATTTTCCCCACGAGATGATTATCGGAACATAATAAAATGTATCATCCATCGCAACTCCATGCTCAATAGGATTAACCTTGCATCGTAAAGAATACCTCTTCACTTGTAAGATTCTGCTGCACAATGTTTAATGTTATTTCTGCCACAAACGTGATGTCTTCTGATGTGATATCTTCGATGTTGGAAGTAACATATGATACTTGCTGGCTCACTTCACCTGCGTTTTCTTCACCTACGATTACCTAAAATGTGTGGGGAAAATATCATTCAAGCATGTACACGGTGAGTGATACGATTTTCCCCCTTAAGGTAACATAACATTAGGGAACATGTTTCACTTACAATATTGCAATGTCACATAAAGTAGGTTTTCTTTTCCATATATCATCTTTATTATAAAGAAAATAAAAACGGTGTCTCGTAATATTTCACAAATAATGATCCGGCAGATTGTAGATAATTTCCGAACAAATTTAGTGATGATAATCGTTTACGGTTGTCGACTGATTTTAATCAGAGACAAACATCTTATAAATGCAATAATTCGGCAAAATTCTACTATTTCAAACTACTTCTCGTTTTAAATGCCGTATCACGAGTTAACGAATGAAGATAAGAAGGCCTGTTGCAAGTGCTCCTATTTCAGTATTGTCAATCAATATGAGAGAGAATATGGTGCCGCCTTGAATAAAAATCGTCGAATGCATTTGTGAATGGAATGACATTAAAACAACCAGTAGAATCGATTGACCATGGGCTATTCATTACCTGTTATGCATGATTTTTTTTTGATTTTTTTTTTATAGTTTTCACATGCAAGTAAAGATACGCTCTTTGAAAATATAGGCTGAGTAAGAAAGGAACATGAATGTGTTTTGTTTAAAATTGTACACAATACTGGGTACAAATAATGTACCAAATTGGGTAAAATCTACCCAATGACAGGTCATTTTATACTTACTTCTTTTATTAGAAATAGTTTATCATACTTTGTTCAGGTTGTTATGATCAGTGGTACCTACAATATACTAAGCACAATTGCATTACACATGTACGTTATTAAAAAGCCTCTTTTCAATGATCGAAATTTGAAAAAAAGCAAAAACCTGTGCAATTTCGGTGAGAATATCTGTGACATTTCTAAATGGTCCGCAATTATCCACAGGTTGCCACTGGCTCTGGGTAATACCATCACCGATACACAGAGCCCGTCCAATCGGTTCATTGGCTGTTCGGTATAAAAAAAAATACACATATATGTTTATATATATATATATATATATATCAAAAGAACACTGGCAAAGATTTATTAACATATACGAATAAAGAAGGAAACATAAATAAAGTAAAGAAGTATCGTCTATGATTTTCTCAAGTAATTCATGACTCTGGAACTATTCAATACATTCAACAACACGCGCGGATCTAGAATATTAATTTATGTCCGAAGGCTAGGGGCTTAGGGTTCGTATCGTCATTTTGTACGTGTGCCTCGCTTAAATTCATTTTTGTTATTGGGTGCTCGAATATCTATAAGGAAGGGCTTGTAGACTCCATGCCCCTATCTTGGTCCGGTGGCGTTCACTAATAAAGTGAAAACTATCTACATCAATTGAACATCATGATATCAAAGCTATTTTTGAAATTATATTGCGAGTAAATGAGTTATTCTCGGTCGCGCAATTGCCATTCATTAACAAGTTACACACAAAAACGCGGCGTTATTTTTTTCGGATTACCGTGTCAAACATGAGCAAGCCTATAGGGAAATTATTATATTAATCGTGCTATTTAACCTGATCCCCCGTCTACTTCCTCGAATTAAATATGAATGAAAGACCATCAAAACCAACCTTGAGTAGTGTTGAATGGACACATTCCTGTTGAATTTGCCAATGTTCCGTTTTCACCCACCGGAAATTTGACTTCTTCAAACCGAGGAGATATCCATGAGATATTCTGGCAAATAGCTTCACAAAAAAGAGTGAATAAAAAGAGTGAATACAAAAAAAAACTCATATCAAAATTCAATTCCATGTTTTTTTATAAATCTACTTTAAAGTGAATTGCTGCAAATTGCGCAGGTATTCTTTTTTTTTCCGAGAAGTGCCCCATGCTAGGGAAGCTTAACCGCGCAGCAAGAAGGTAACTTGTTTAACACGCCAATGCGCCATAATTTAGGCGGGAAGGTGAGAAGGCGAATTATGAAAACTTGTCAAGACGCCATATGTTTAAGTATAGAAAGCGAGAAGGCGTGTACTAACAACTTGCTGAGGCGCCTTGTTTAGGATGCGAGGTGGCTTCTCGTTTCAAACAAGGCGCCTTAGCTATTTTTAGCAACTCGCCTTCTTGTCTTCTCGGCCTTAACAACGCGGCTTGGTTAGTTTTATCTAGTGGCCTTTTAGCATTCTTAACTTAAGTATGGGGCATTGGCGACTTTAACAACTCGCTTTCTCGCCTTCTGGGCCCTAACAAGGCGCCTTGGCGAGTTAAACAAGTCGGCTTCTCTTTGCACGTTGAAGCTTCCGTAAGATGCAGACAAATTTGATCACTCTAATTAAGAATGGAAATTAAGAAGTACTTTTATAAATGAAGGGCCACAAACTCGCAGAATAAACGAGATCCCACGCACACATATATATATATATATATATATATATATATATATGTGTGTATATTATGTAAACACAAATGCTGTGTATGCACGCGTGCGTGTGTTTGTGTGTGTAACATCTCCTGCGTTTCAAATTACCTAACGTATCAATGCTACACGTCCAGTTAAGTGGCGTATTCGGCATAGCCCTAACCCCCTCCCCTTCCGAGGGCCATGTTAAAAAAAAAATGCTTGCAATGAGTAGTAACACAAAGGTGGAACGAAATACGTTATGACCCTTGTTTTTTTCGCGTCACCTACCCGCCATCAATATATGGATACCCTACGTCCTTATACACAAAGCTTGATATTTAAATTGACTTTTAGAACTACATGAACGTGACTGAAATTGGTACCGTTATCTTGAACTGAAATTGTGTTGGAATCGAGAAACCCATTCGATTCATTGGCTAGACTCTCAAGAGATAGACCGATAAGATCTTGTGTCTCCAGTGCCGTCATATTGGTCCGCTCGATGTAGATATTCATGTCAGCTTTGACGCTTCCTGGTCTTAAGGCTCTGCATACTACTGATAGGCTCGTCCACCCAGTACTGGTTCGGAGGCCTTGCTCCACCTTTACACAGGTACAAACGACAAACAGAAAAGATAAAATGTTTAAAAGATATTTCCCCTTCTAAGACTAATACTCTTTGGTAACTTCTTAAAGTATACATCATAAACGAAAACCCTCCGCATGCAATATTTTGTCTATACAATATTCATAAGTTTATGCTTGTGGTAGAACTGCATTTTGAATTACTTGAAGAATTGAATGAAAGTATGTGAATTATGTGACCCTCGACAGCACCCTATTAAATGTGAAGGGCAAAGTGCATATCTTACTCAAGTTTGTTCACAATAGCATTAATGGTTCCTGAGTTATTTGTCACAAGAACGTTCAACTTTGCAGGTAAACTTAAACATTTGTGACAGGCGACGGAGGAAGAACGCCTTTCGGATCCCTTAGTCTTGTCTCCACCATGAGGAAAGCTTAAACTGTTTACGCTACAGCACGTGCAATCAACTTTACCATTTCCTGCTACGAACAATGTACTCGCATTCTAGAATTCAACTGTATATTTTAAACCCAAAACAATATTAGGCCATGCCTTGCAGAATATCACAAGAACGGGATAAGCCTTGCCGATCTACACCAATTATTTTTAGGATGTTCTTACAAAGGTGCTGATGTTGAGTGCCGTTTCTCTATAGAGTTGAGAAGTTTGGTCATGAAGCTCATCGCTGAATGGAATGGCAAATCTAGCGTTCAAAACTTTCATATTGGTCAGATCTGAAAAAATACAAACATATACAACGAGAATCAGTGGCACAAATTCAGGAGAAGGCACAGGGCGAACGCCCTCCCCCCGGCCCGTAGGGACATTTCTTCTCATGATAATTCCATATTGAAACTGGTGGGCCGGCAGTCATTCTCAATAAAATTTTCTTGAAGAGGGCTGATAGCCAACAAAATAATACAAGTAACTAACAATAGCTTTCAGAAAATGTTCCTATATACGAATTTCATTTTAAATCAGTACTTGTTTGCAGTGGCGTACGCGCCCGCTTGTATGAGAACATTTCTCTTACAATTTTCACGTCATGAACCCGAAATAGTGACGTTCGATTTTGTTACGCGATTGTATGTCTCAATGGCGATCGATTTCACTTTAAATAAATGTCTTATTTTCACGCGTCACTTTTTAAAATTCGTTTTATCTTCAAAACCTAATTTAATGAAATATATTCCTTTTTTGTATATATATTTTTTTCTTCTCCAACTTAAGTTTGATGAAGACAATTGCTTATAACTTTGATCTGATATAAAATCAATGTAAATGAATGTTGAATTAATAGTCCACTTATTATCTGCAAAGTTGCCGGACAAAGACTAATGTGCACAAGCCTATAATTACTGTTTAATACTTAGGATGTGTAAGTCTTTAATGACGTATGCCTGTTAGCTTCACGCTCCCTTCATGAAACTTTTCACAATCGCAAGGGTATTCCACGTGTTTAAAAGGCAGATGTGAGAGCTTGCTAAAATACACAGGTCGCCTTTAAAAAAATTGATGTGGTTTGCTTCAAGCCAAGTGTTTACCTTTGACATATACAGATGCTCGCATTGTGTCTAAAGTTTCTCCATTTCTCCCCGTGCCTCGGCAGAAGTAATACCCGATGTCACTGGGCGAGACAGACAGAATTATCAAAGGATTCTGATTTTCACTGTTGGGCAAAATGACATCATCTTTGTACCAGTGGTATCGCTTGGCATTGTTGAAACTACATGTCAGCTCCACATTGGCATTCATGTTAACTATCTGGCTTGTCGGATGGACAGAAACATCCAAAGGAACTGTATTCGAGGTAGTAATTAGAACATATGACGGCGAATGAGATAATTTTAAATAATGATGATGATAATGATAATGATGATGATGACAAAAATAATAAGAGTAATTATAATGATAATAATAAGAAGAAGGTGGAGAAGAAGATTAACACAAATAACATTAGCAAAACAATAGAAATAATTGTGATGAAAATAAAACTACTACTATACTAATAATAATAAACAAAATTGAAATAATACTAATATCCTACTACTATTACTACTACTACTATTCATAAAAATGAATAACAGTTACATTTACATTTACGCAAATACCAAGGGGATGCTCACAGCACCTACAAAAACTATTACGATTCTTTTTGCTAGCCCAGCTGCCCTAAGGCCCTGAAAGCATTCAAGGTATTAATTCCTAACAAGTATCTATGTTCTGCACTTGGGTAGATAGGGATATGTACATTAATGTCAAAAGACAGTGGTGCTGTCCTTAATCCCAACCATTTGATCCGGAGAAGGTAGGATAAGCTCCTTGGTGATCCTCAGTTCGGTGACGTATGCATCAGACCATCTTCAACATGTTTAGGAGGACTAGACATCTTAGATTCAATGTATAGATTAAGCAGGTAATGGTGTACTTAACAAACTTTGACATTCCTTCACTGTACAATAGAACGACGTGAATAGCGACAACAGAAGAATTAAAGCCTCCCCCAGAAAAACAAAGTGTTTTGACATTTTCTTTCATATCCAGAAATGATGGAGAGATATTTGGTTCATCATTTCTGAGGATAAAACATTGTGTCATAACACTTTCCAAATTTCGGTTGCTATTCACCTCTCTTTCAAAACGATGTGAATCATGGATTTGCAAAACGTAATACCTTTAAGATACATATAAGTAAATCCAAACAAATGACTTACGAGTTGGTTCATCACAATGGATCCCCTCATAATGATCTTGGCATTCACACTCGTACTGTTCTTGGTCAGTGTAACGACAGACACCATTGACACACGGGTTTCGTTGGGAGCAAGGATCAGAGTTACCTGTCGAAAGTTAGTTTTAGTAAAATTGTAGAAGCATAGAACTTACGAATGAATGTTTGCAGATTCATTCCCCAGTTTCCTGGGCAATATTGTCTAGACATATTGTTTTGATTGATTAACTCTTAACAGATAAAGGGGTAATCTCAAAGAAGGAAAAATGCAAAGATTCAACCACTGACAACAGCTTGGGAGTTCCTAATGTTAATCGGGGCAAGAAAACCGGGATAATTGTATTTCCCAACGGTTCATTATTGTCAAAGGTTCTTTTTATTATTAGCTAAACATTTGTTTCATTTAAACCAAAATATTAATTGACGTACACGAAAAATCACGATGGCACTCAACTTATGTTCCACAATATTTTCATACCTGTATTACACAAAGCTCCATCAAATCCCGCAGCACATGTACATGCATTGTTCTCACAGGTACCTCCGTTCAGACATGGGTTGCTACTAAAACAGTCAACTGCGCAGAGAGAAAATATCCTACAATTAATGACCAATATTTACGTTCACCGTTCACGAGAAAATACATTAATGACGCCATATGACGGGAATAAAATTTTGAATTTATATCCGGCAATGTAGAGGCAAATTAGTAATGATTTATTCAAGAATGTGAAATCACAAAGTGGGTAGGCACCTCCGGGTTAATAGACCACTCTAATTTCTAGGGGCAGCGGTTGTGAGCCCCTTTGATGTAGAATATTACTTACGAAAGTGTACAAGAGAGATATAAATGAAGATATTCCTGGCATGATGTAATGCGTTTTAGGATGACATGGACGCAGCCATTTTCCTGATAGTATGATGTACAATATTATTGAGTGAAAAGCAAATAACAGGGAACAGTTGTAACTTATTAATTTGAAAGTACTAAAATATAACAGTTGAAAAATATCTTTAAGTAATGCAAAACCCCTAACCCCAGAAAGACACCAACTCATTTATGCAATTTGCGTTCTGGCACAAAGGATAATATCAGGTGAATAAAATGCTTTATCACCACACAAACCAGGAAAGAAGGCAAATTGGATACACTAACTTGATAAACTACTTCGTATGGTCCGTCACGTTATCAAGAAAATGGCGATGCCCATGTCGTGCTGAGAAACTATATATCATTCTTGCTTTATACTTCTCCCATACACTTTGGTGGGGAATCTTGCAGATTAATGGGCAAGAATATAATAAATCTCCCAGAATAACTATAGTTATTCTTTGGGATGAGGTCTCCTTTAACGTATGTTACAATATATTTCGTTACCTATACCACACAAAGCTCCATTAAATCCCGCAGCACATGTACATGTATTGTAATCACAGGTACCTCCGTTCAGACATGGGTTGGCAACAGAACAGTCAACTACAGAGAGAAAAAAATACACTTGAATTCATGGCGAATCTTTACATTCACTGTTTACGGTGATATGCATGAATATCCGGAATTCTATATTAAAATAATATTAGGTCATGTACACAAAATTTAAGAAAGATGCATCAAAGAATGTCAAATTACAAAGTACGTAGTGTTTTCACTCATCTTTATACCGCTATTTTTCAGGAGGGGGAGGGGGGGGGGGGGGTTGAATGTTATAATGTTTATGTCGAAATGAATAAACAGGTTCAAGGCACGATATGACGGTTTCATGGCTTAAATCTGTTTATCATTGAGTAACCATTTTTTTCCTTTAAACAAAATATTATTTGACGTAAACGATGAATCCTGTACTTAACGTATGTTACAATAGATTTCAATACCTGTACTACACAAAACACCTCTAAAGCCCACAGCACATGTACACGCATTGTTCTCACAGGTACCTCCGTTCCGACATGTGTTGCTACCAGAACAGTCAACTGCACAGAGAGAAAAAATGAATATCCTTAAATTCTGCGTAGAACAGAAAACCCAAATAATGTTTTTTTTATATCAATATTTGTCTTCAAATCCATTTTTTGAGGGACATCTTTGCAGAAGTGTGTCTTAAATGACACCCTCTTTCACATTACGATAGAATTCAAGTGAAATCTTGCACTCATTTTTTTTTTTGTTGCGAATTCGGGGCTCCTTTGACTTTAAAGGGGCTTCAAGGTCTGGGTGATTTTTTTTTTGTATTAAAAAAAGAAAATTGTACTCACTCAATACATGTTCATCATACAAATACAAATCCTTTCAAATCGCATTACATTACATAAAGAGTATACAATATACACAACTCAATTATTTTGAATGAAACGAATCTTATCGTAATTACCCCCTTCCCCAAACTAAGACACAAAAACAATGACAATGCCTTAAACGAATATAAAAAACCAAAACCCAACCCCCCCCCCCAAAAAAAAAGAGCAACAACAAACAAATGATGATGATATGACATATGATATCGATATCACCTAGTCTCAATTGGCATCCATACCAGTGTGTAAACATTGATGTAAACAAAGCCTAAAATGCCATAGTATGGCAAGCCGTTTCAACATTTATTCCTATTTCTTGATGTCAAGAATTGGGAATAAATGTTAAAACAGCTTGCCATACATTCGTAGTCACCCCTTCCCGCACCCGACAAACATTGCACGCTGGCTTCCGAGTTCGCTGACAGACTTTCTTTCTTCTCATTATCTGTTAGCACTCCAAGTTTATAACTACCTGATCCGCTTCCTGTTATAAAAGATTCACAACAGGAGATTACCAGATCATTTAGCATATTTTATTAAGTAAAATAAATATCCTACTTTTTTGGACACGACACCATCGAATATACACATTATAATGATGTATTTTTTGTACCTTTGTCACACAAAGATCCAGTAAATCCCAAAGCACATGTACATGCGTCGCTCTCACAGGTACCTCCGTTCCGACATGGGTTGCTACCAGAACAGTCAACTTCAAGGTGGAGAAAAGTCATACCAAATGAAATTTGCAAATTTAGAAGGGAGATAACAAGTGACTATTTGTGAGAACAGTCACGCTCGGTAAAGATCTTATATCAAGAATAATAGTTTGGAATTTGTATTATAAAATTATCAAACTGCAGAGGTGTATCCCATGACCTACTTTGCCTCGTTTTTTGAGCGGGGCAGGGGTGAAAGCAATAGGATCGGTCATTAAAACACTTAACAGAATATGTGTCAAGAGATGACTTTGAATATTTTTACGTATTATGTAATAAGACTAATTATATGCTATGCAAAATCATTATATGTATTATTATTGTAACCGCATTACATCCCAGAGAGATGATGTAATTTGTATTCAGGTTTATGATTATCACGTATTAGATATGCCATTTAAATTTATATGTTCTTTGTTAGTAGGGTTATCGCGTATTTTCTATCACAAATAATTATGATTTTGTATATGGCTTGTAACAACTGTCTTCTGAAGAGATAGGATGATAACTTTCATTGGAAGGAAGAAGAAAACTGTCATGATGTTCGATTAGACATGATATTGATATCGATGTAAACAATGTGATCGAGAGATAATGTAATGCATTGCATGTTGCAAGGTCAAGAGGTCAAATACGGCATTTTACATGTTCGTCAAGCCGGAGCGGAAGGGATACAATAAAGACTATGAGACTCGTAATACTTGTGTTGAATTCCATTTATTCTATATCCTGGTTAGGATATGACAAAAACTTCCCGGTTTAATTTTTTCAGAGTGAACAATGTAAAATAAGACATCGGTCAAACGTCACAGCCGTAGTGAGTCAGAGTTTTGTGATTACCCCTGAAAAGGAAGCCTTACGCCCATAAAAGTTGAAGGGAAAGAATGAATGGAAAGAAAAATAAACAATCACTGGTCAGACATTTCCAAGAAAAGTATACATTGAAGGTTTGTTTAACCTAATTATTTGCGTGAATTAGTAAGATACTAGCCGCAAGGTGCTGCTCGATTCCCGCCTTTAATATGCAATCAGTTTTCTTTAGTGAACAAATATTATTGACAACTATTGCATGCAACACTCTAATTAATACGAACAGAAGCTTAAAAGATCTTACTCGTGTCTACGCACAAAGCTCCAGTATACTCCGAGGAACATATACATGCGTCGCTCTCACAGGTACCTCCGTTTAGACAAGGGTTGCTACCAGAACAGTCAACTGCAGAGAGGAGAGAACATGTCTTTAAACTCATGACGAATCCATCCATTAAAGTTTCTCCACAGAAATTTTCCAAAAACTTGAAATTTAAAAGTTAAGGTTGAGTTCTGGGGAGAGGTGAAAGATATTTGTTATATTTATTATTGTTATGCAATTCAGTGTGGAAGAAAATCAGAGAAATAATGTTATCTGAAAAGCATGGCTCTTCAAATGCCTTCATATTCTAAATAGGACAAGTAACAGCTTAAAAATGAGGCTCACGTTTTTATGCCACATATTTGTGTAGTCACATGTACGTGTACATCTTTTTGTGTACACTGCTTGTTACCGTCTTTACCATGACTTGGCCATTAACAAAAAAAAATAATCATTTTGATGATTCCATAATCTTGCAGTACACACCAAAACTTATATGCTAAATGATCACCATTTTCTGATTGATTCCACACCGTTTCTTTCACAAGGCAATCGTATGACCAGAACTCAACTTCATCTTTAAGAATGAGGTACTAAAGATTATCAAATTGAAAAGTAGGCAGCGGTAGACATGTCTCCCTTACCTATCAAAACATTGCGTTCTAAAGATTGTCAAATTACAAGGTAGGTTGGCTTTCCCTCATTTGTATACCTCACTTTGATCGTGGGCAGTGGTTGTAAATAATAATATTGATGTCGAAATTGTTATGACTACCAAACCTACATGAATAATACTTCTTTATAACAAACACTACAACAGCCAAGTCAATGTTTAAAAACAAATTTTGTCCTGTTTTGGATCTTCAATAAAAAAATGAATTCGAATAGTTGTGAAATTAAATCATTTTCCTTTTTCAACTGCAGCAATGTATCCGTTAGACAAACAATGAATGGGAAATAATGTTGTCAATTATCTTATCGCGCATACAAATGAAGATTGAGTACACTATTCAATTTCAATAAATTTTATAATGAATCATTTAGCAGGCTGTAAATTACTTATACCCAGACGTCTTTTGTCCGGACAGGTTGTGTATCTGGACAGTTGACTTAAATCAGTATTTTAAAGAAGTTTACATGCAATATTTTATAAAAAAATTAAGACTTATGTAAGGCAATATTATGAAAGACAAATATTCATGGTGGTAAGTGCTATTTCAAGCATACTTTTCGTTGAATACTGATTCAAAAGTGGGGGCTTTATTTTTGTTAAGCGTCCGGACAAACACCCCTTCCCCCATCTATACTGATAAGAAGGGAAGAGATGTTGGGGTCCGATGTAATCGTGAGCTTTCGAGAACAAGACGAAAGGAAAAGAGGACGCTAAGCCAACGGGTAAGCCGAGCGAAATATCGGCCTGCGCATGCACGAAATCACACAACTCACTGTCCTCTTAATTTTAGGACGATTCCTGTTACCGGCTGAAATAAGGTCCGGTCTGTAAAAAAGACGGGACGGTGTATCTTGTACGTGGTTACATAAGTATACTTGGTTTCCTTTGATGACTTTTATTAATAATGCGCGTTAAGAATCCACCTTATTCATACTTTTATTCCTGGTAAAACTGGGATAATGGTTTATCTTCATCAGTCGACAGTGTAGAGTCATGCTCATTTGACATCTGGAAATAACCAATTGTCACTGCTTTAATACACAGAGCTTTAGATTCCACCGATATTTTAAAAAGAACATTAATCCCACACTCACTCACTTGATAAGTCATTAGAAATTATACGAACGTCCATTTGAAGCTTCGAGATACCCTTTGCTCCTATGGCAGCAAACCACATCTCACTGGTATCTACATAGACATCACCGGGAGTGGAGTATCTATATCCATAGATAGTTGCGATGACAGAGTGTATGTCAGACGGATCGTTACCAGTCCCTATTTCGACTTTAACACCAGGATCGATATGAAAAGACTGGAACACAACTTGAAATCCATTCGTAGCGTTTGTTTGTAGCAAGGTTGCGTCATAAAATCGTGTTGTCGTGTTGGTTGGTAATGAGATGAAATGTGATTCGCCTTCCTGAAGATATGCTGCTGACTTAGCTGTTAGATTTTTTGTTAAAGACAAATGGGTAAGAAATCAATTTTTGTTAAAGAAAAAAGGACAACAAGTAACTTTCGTATCTGTAGATGATTCTGATCATTTGTCCAACTAGAGATTGTTAATTTAGCTCCATCACCTTGCACCGACTAACCTGGGAAGCTCTCCTGAAAACAAACCTATATTATATGATGGTCAAAAAGGAACATCGCGAATCTTGAACTCCCATATAATTCACAACGAAATTCGCGAAGAAATATACGACGTCGTGAATGTTGTTCTTGCTTTAGTGGTACTCTATTTTTTCTTTCTATCTCTCCTCTGTGTTTCTCTCTCTCTCTCTCTCCCTCTCTGACTTTATATCTCTCACGTTCTATCCACTCTATCTCTCTCACACACTCTCTCTCTCTCTCTCTCTCTATATATATATATATACAATGTTGGTCATAATGGTGGAATAATTATTGTTACCCCAATTTATGGAATGATTTTGACAATGATTTATTCCTAATAGATCTAGATAATAGTATACATTTTCGGATTTTATTGAATAATAATTTGTGAGTGCTTGTTTTGCGTGACTGCTAAAGCATGCGTGTGCTACTATGCTAATCGAATAGGGGTCCTACGTCCATAAGTCATAACTGACAGTAATGAGGATTAATGCCTCACAAAAGGGCACTAATATAGCTGATCGACACGGTTTTGATCCTGGGGCTTCACAGTAACGAGGACATTGCTTAGCCACTGAATCATGACTATACGCAGCGGGGGCTAGGGTACGGGGCCACCCCACAAATACAAAAAGACAAAGAATTTTTTTTTATCAGTAATTCATCGCATTCCCCCCGGTCCCCAACAGGTAAAATTCCTTTGTAGGGTTATGCCTTGAAACATAATGCATGGCCCTACATCCGGGGGAAAATGCAATGAATTATTGATAATTGATTGCATTTTAAAAATTGAATTTCGTCGTGAATTATTTGCAATTTCACTATTCGCGATGTCCCTTCTCCATAATGTTACCCTACGATGTTACTTAGACAACTTAGACCATTCTAAAACAGCTTGTAGACCTGACCGTTCCTGTCAGAGCTCCCTAAAACAGAAATCAAACTCAGGTTGGTATCAACCTATCTACCCTATGCACGAAATTTCGTTGGTGGAGATTATGATTGACATTACCAAACATTTTACATTTTCCCACCCAAATCATATGGACACCATTTTTATAGGAAACATTCTCTGTTTATCACAATATTTACTGATAAGCAGACACATGACTTCATTTTGACAAAAATCTGGTGCTTGGACCAGACTTTGGGGTTGGGGGGGGGGGGGGGTTACCCGACTGCTGCACTCAAACTGCCACACTTTGTTTATCAAAGACCTAGATGCTCTTAATTACATTGAGGGGTCAAGTCTTGTGAGTGAAATGTGTGACAATTTTAGGATAAGTCCCTTGACCCGACCGAGTTGTGAAAGTCGTTAGAACAAAAGGGGATACCCTAGTAGACCGTGATCACAATTACCATAACCAAACCATAGTGACTAAAATATCTAAGAAAAGTCCACGAGACAATCAAAACAATGACGCTACGAACGACACCGAAGATTTCGTTCTCACAGTCATGTCAGTATATGCAGACACAATGGCCTCAAGACATAGGTGATATTCTGAAACTGTGAGATGGGCTCGTAGTATTCGACGATGTTTGCATTAATAATAAAATAATAATACATAAGATTTATAAGGCGCCAAATCCACTTGACATTCAAATTCTCAAGGCGCACGCGGTACTTGAGCGGTTTTCAGAATTTCTGCAACATCGCGTCATCCAGGACGCACATGATGGTCATCCAGGCATTGTCAAGATGAAGCAGCTGTGTCGCGAAACAGTCTGGTTGCCTGGTATCGACGCGCGAATCGAGGAAATGGTGAAGAGTTGTATGAGCTGTACACTGAGCGAAAAGTCAGGGGTTCAGAATTGATAAAAGACTTAACTCCGTTTCGTTGACGAACAGCCATAGACGAAAGACTTCGTGTATGGCTGATTGTCATCGAAACGGAGTTAAGTCTTTTGTCAATTCTGTTTGTTGCTACATCAGGTAGCCAGTGAAAACGAATTCGTTTTATTATGAAAATGCAAGCATTACTTTAAACAAACAGAACTTTGTTATTCCTAGCTCATTTTTGCTGATTGAGGTGTCATATGAAAGAGCAGAATATGAACTTTCTAGAAATGTGATTTTCTCTTTGAAATTCAGATACCGTCCGCCAAATGACTTTTTGGTACCCTCTCTCTAAATTGTTTTTTTAATCACTCATGCGGGAAATATGCATCATATAAGTTGCATCACATTAAAGCACAGGATCTAAGCTTTACAAATATGTATAAATTTATTAATTATAATTATGATAAAGTTATATGAAAATATCGATAATTCTCGGTTTCGTTTTTTCTGGGCCGCACTGTATAGGACGCATAGGATACGCACACGGCCCCCGGGCACAGTGCATTCCCCACCCTTTTTTGAGTACCCCTAAAGTTCCCCTTTTTATTTCTTAATAGTGCCCCTTCTGATAAATTTCCTTCATTAGATAGGAAAATGCCCCCTTTTCCTTCAGAAAGGTGCCTTTTTGTAAGGTGCGAGGTATCCCTTTTTTTATTTTAAGTTCCCCTTTAAAGGTATGAGAAAAAACCCTTTGTAGCATATCAAAACGTTTGGAGCTAAATGGACCCTATTGGAATTGAAGAAAATGCATCATTCATGCTCTGTGCACACAGGAGATTTTCCTGTATCTCTGTGCAGCCGGTATTGGTCTACCATTGTATTGTAATAAGTGCGTGGACCGTGACAGAGACTATAGGCGACACAGTTCTCAAACTGAATCATCTCACCTAAATTTTCGCTCGGCAAAGATGTGATGGTCTTACATCTTGGAAACGCGAGGGGTAATATTGACCAATCAAAACGATTCTTTTATGGTTGGAAAGATAACAGTACATAGACAAAAATACACGTCTAAAGATTGTATTGTTTTTGCCTTCAGGTTACCCTTCGTAGGTTTCCCCTTTTCCGAGAAAATGCCATTTTTGTTGCTGGTGCACCCCACTTTAAAAGACGCTCCTCAGTCACTGCTAGGATGTGGATTAAAAAATTATTGTTTGAATGGTCGCCAGGTTCATGAGTCTATTCAAAGCTCACCATGACCACCTTCAATATCAAGCAACTATTGAGCTCATCGAAGATGAACAATTTACCATGGCTTAGGCGCCTTCGCACCGAGGGATCCAATATCTACCTTCTCCCCAAGATCTTGGTGTTCTCATGGAACGCCAAGATTCATATGAGTACTTTGGTCTTTCCAATCGCTACATGTGGGTCAGAGATGTGGGATCATGGAGCAGCAGATCCACGCTTTCCAAATGTGGTGTTGGTGGAGGATGCTGAGGATATCCTGGAAGGCTCATAAATCAAATGATTTTGTCAAGATGCAAATTGGAGCGAAAGTCATCCTATACCAGAAGCCAGAAAATAAATAAGAACAAGTTGCAGTATTTTGGACACATTTCTAGGAGAGAAGGTGACAACCTGGAGAAGATTATTACCTAAGGTCATGTTGAGGGTCAACGCAAACGTGGTAGGCCAAAAGTTTGATGGGATGACGGAATAAAAGAGATTACTGGCATGAACATGCACAGCTAATCGCTATGCCCAGGATAGAAGTGGTTAGAACGTAATCATCAATAGGGACACAAAGAGATAGTCATGACTCGTATAAAATATTACTATTCGGGAAAATGAAAGGCTACTCTAAAACCTGAAGGTCAAGATCTTGAACAGCTTGCATTCCAACTAAATACTTGAAGGAATGTGCTACAAGTGTCGCATCCGTAGTACAGAATATATATAGAAAACAAATAATAATTATTACTGCGAAGGTGCGAGTGTCCCCAATCTTAGAATAAGCTTCGTCTGGTCTTGAAGATTCTGCACAAAAATGGCTCGAAGTGACTATTGACGTGCACACCATCATGCACCCCCGCTTCTATTAGACGAGCGTAGGTGAGAAATGATTAGGAAAATGATGAGGAAAGTACACCACCAAAATGGGAGAAAATAATGATGTTTACTAATTTCTTAATTCAATAATGCAGTGGAGAAAAATGTGAGGAAAAGCGAAATATAAAGGGAAATATTTCATAACTTTATTCCAATTATTCCGTGTTCGTGTACATGTGCAATGATTCATTAGACCTGACACCAATAACATGTTGCAACACCCGTTATAAGTTTCTGATATCGTGGCATTTGATTGATTGAGACCAAATTTATCATAGAATGTTAGAATTTGTTGTCGTACAAGATTTACTTGACTGTTCATTACAAACTAAAATCTGATTAAACGAATTCGTTTTCACTGGCTACCTGCCTTAGCAACAAACAGAATTGACAAAAGACTTAACTCCGTTTCGTTGACAATTCAATCTTAATAATCCATACATACAACTCCTTTTGCAATGTTCAATGCTTGGGACCAAACTTTTGGGTTCTCTTCCGGGAGCTCTGCCATACATGTAGATGTGTCATATGTAGGAAGAAAGTATTACCATCTCCTTTGATATCGCACGCCATGAAATAACTAAAAAGACATATTGGAAATGTCAGAAGAGGCATTATAGATCTCATTAATTTATGCTACAAAATCATGAAGAACAACAAAGACCTGTCATAGTTTTAAGAAACGCAGTACCAAATATCCGTTTTGTTTGGACTTACCGCATGCTAATTCGTCCTCGTAACGATCGCACTGGTAACGTCCATCGCACACGAAAGTCCGTGACACGTTCATGTTGGAGCTCCCACAACCAAATACGGCTAGTAGAATATACGAGAAGATAGAGAAAAAAGGTGACATATGAGTAGGTCAAACTGCTTTGAAATTTGACAATTGATTCCACTATTTTAAAAAAAATTACTTGTGGTAATTAGTAGGCGCATTAAATTCACCGTCTTAATACTATTATTTCTGGTATAACTGGAAACATCGTTTATCTTCATCAGTCGACAGGTGTTGAATAATTCAGCTTTTTTGTAACTGGAAAGATACCAGTTATCACTGCTCCGATACACAGAGCTTTATATTCCACCTATATTTTAAAAGAACATTAATCCCACACTAGCTCACTCACTTGATAAGTCATTTGAAAATATTCGCACGTCCATTTGAAGCCTAGAGTTACTCTTTCCTGCTATAGCAGCAAACCACATCTCATTGGTATTAACATAGACGTCATCGGGAAAATTGGATATAATTTTATAGATAGTCCTGATGACAGACTGTATGTCAGACGGATCGTTACCAGTCCCTATTTCGATCTTATCAGCAGCATAGTAGAGATTTAAAGACTGGAACACAACTTGAAATCCATTCGTAGCGTTTGTTTGTAGCAAGGTTGCGTTATAAAATCGTGTTGTAAAGGTGGTTGGTAAGGAGATTAAATGTGATTCGCCTTCCTGAAGAAATGTTGCTGAGTTATCTGTAAAGATATTTTTAATTTCAAGACATGTAGGAAAGAAATTAGTATAAAGAAGAAAAAAGGAAAACAACAACAAATAAATTTCGAATCTGTCGATGATTCTGATCAGTTTTACAACTAGATTGCTACTTAAACTTCATCACCTTCACCAACTAATCTGGGAGCTTCTCTCCAAAAACAACCCTTCACTATCCATACGATTTGACCCCCTTACGTTACTTAGATCATTTAGGCTATTCTAGAAAAGCTTGTCGACCTGACTCTATCTTTCAGAGCTCCTCAAAACAGAAACCAAACTCAGGTCGGTTTCAACCCATCTACCTAATGCACGAAATATCTTTGCCAGAGATTATTGCTGGACATTACAACCAAAAAATACATTTTCTCACCTAAATCATATGGACACCATTTTTAAAGAAAATATTCTCTGTTTATTCCAAATTTGTAAAGACTGACTTGTTCTGATATGCGGTCATACGACTTCATATTGAACAAAATCTGGTACCCAAAAGCTATATTCGGACTGCCAAATTTTGTTATCAGCGACCTAGATGGTCTCAATAACTTTTAGGGGTCAAGTCTTGTGAGTGAAATGTGTGACAATTTCAGGATAAGTCCCTGGCCCCTACCGAGTTCTGAAAAGACGTTGGAAAAAGAAAAGGATACCATTTTAGGCCTTAAGCCCAAAATACATAACCCCAGTGACTAAAATATCTAAGAAAAGTCCATGAGACAAACGTAACAAGTCTGTCTTTAAAATGATGAAGAAAATTCACCCTTAAAATTGCAAGACACTCATGAATTTCACAATTTCATGAAACAGTTGACAAGAATGTGAGAGAATGCGAAATGTATGGCTTAATATTTCAGCATCTTTATTTCGATTATTCCATGTCCGTGTAGCTGTGCAATGTTTCGTGAAACCTGTTATCAACAACAAGTTGCAACAACTGTTAAAAGCTACAGAAATCGTGGCATTTGATTGACAGAGAGCAAATTTATCATAGAAATCTAGAATGTTGTTATTAATAACAAGTTTAACATCAGAAACTAAAATTGACATATCATAATAACTATACATACGACTTCCTTCGAAGAACGTAGCATTTGGTGACGTTGAATTTCATTTGCCACTTGTCTGCCTATGTAGATAACCTGTTCAGATCCGTCTGGAGGATTACTGTGTCGTTGATCGTCTTAATCGCTCGGTAGAGTATGCAATCATCTGCAAATAGCCTTATACTCGACGAGAAGTTTATATTTATATTATTGATATAAACGAGGAAAAGGAGAGGGCCGAGGACGGACCCCTGCGGTACGCCTGATAGTACCTCAGCCGAGGCTGAGCATTCCCCATCAACGACTACTCTCTGTGATCTTGTTGTCAGCCAAATGTTGATCCACTTAAGAAGTTGGCTTTGAATGCTACACTTTTGAAGTAGGAAGAGAGGTCTTTGATGGGTTACCTTATCAAAAGCCTTGCTGAAGTCGAGAATCATAACGTACTGTTGAGTACCCTGGTCGAATGATCGTATCAGATCTTCTATTGTAAGAATGAGCTGGCTCTCACAGCTTCGGTGCTTCCGAAATCTCTGCTGTTTTTCACTTAAGAAATTTGATCGTCAAGATGCTGGATGATGTGTCTGTAAATAGCATGTTCCAAAATCTTACAAGAGTGAGATATTAAGGAGACTGGCCGGTAATCCTCTGGCGAGTGACGGTCTCCTTTCTGGTATATAGGAAGAACGTTAGCAGACCTCCAATCAAGTGGGATGTCACCTTCATCTAGGAATTTTTGAAATATCGCAGTCAGAACTGGAGCAATCACATCTTTGGCCTATTTGAGAATGATGTTGGGAATTTCATCGGGACCGTGTGCTTTCTTCACCTTCGTGGATCCGAGGAGCTTGGTGATACCGTCTATATTGATGGTCAAGTCAGGGAGTCGTGGTAAGTCTCCAGGGATGCCTTCACTAATCTCGTCATGCCAGGTATTAGGTATAGGATCCTCAAGGGTGAATACTTGGCAGAATTGATCGTTTAACATCTGGGCTTTTCGCATGACAGAGATGCTTCTCGTCCATTCGGGTGTAGTACAGGAGCACCAACCGTGTCCCTTCTTTTGCTTTTAAAGTATGAAAAAGCCTTCTTGCTGAACCTTTCTCCCGTGTCAGGTATGAAGATCGTAGTAAGGTAGATCTTGTGGGCTTCTCTGTTCCTTGATCTGAATCGAGGTTGGAGTAGTTTGTACCTGCTCCAGTCTTTGTCGTTATTGGTGACTTTAGCCTCGATTCTGGCTCTCTTCTTCTGTCTAGCCATTCTACTGAGGTGTTTGTTCCTCAATGGTAGGTTGGGTCTACTTTTAGTGGTTTTAACTGGTACATGTGAACTGACTGCTTTTTGGATTGCTTCTTTCAGGAGGTTCCAGCAGAGAGATGCTGACTTATCAACGGAATCGTTGAGGATCTTGTTAGTGGATTCTTTAAGATCATCCCTAAGGCTATCCATATTGGTTTTCTTGAACTGGTAGATTTTCCTGGGCTTGGTCTTTGCTAGTTTGACATTTAATGAAAAATTGCAGGTTACAGCTTCGTGGTCGCTCATCCCTTTCTCTATTGCAACGTCATTCACAAGGTCAGGGATTGATGTGATGACCAAATCCAGGATGTTACCCATTCGTGTAGGTTGAAGGACCATTCGTGTAGGTTGAAGGACCATCTGTGTTAATCCGAGTTGATCGATTATGTCTAACATGAGTTCTTTGATATGAAGACCATACTGTGGATTTGCATCTATCATCACGTTTTCCTCCCATTGAATACTTAGAAGATTGAAGTCTTCGGTCAGGATAATGTTGGGTAGTCTGCTTCTCATTATCGAGTTAATATTAAGAAGTAGGTTGTGTAGATCAGAAGGTCCGCTACTTTGAGAACTGTAGAAAGCTACAACTATCAGGTCTGGTTGGTTGTTTACTTTTACTCTGATAGCTAAAAGTGGGCATTCGTGAGGTAGTTCCAATAATATAACTTGAAGTGTGTGTCGGAATGCTATAAGTATTCCACCTCCCCAACGGTCTCTGTCTTTTCTAAATATCCCATATCATTGAGACTGGTGTATTAACTCTTGGTTACTTAGTTCATTGTCAAGTTTAGTTTCGGTGGCTACAACTATATCAGGGTTTAAGTCCTCAATAATAACCTGGAATTGGGTTTGTTAGTTCATAGATTTCAAATTGCATACGTTTAAGTTGAGAACTCTCGGTCCTTTATCAGATGTGTGGTTCATATAAGACGGAGGAGTACTAGGAGTAGGATCAGGAGTTGAGTTCTCAGGATCAATTGAACATGAACCACACGTAAATTCAAGTTTGTTTTCATCAGTACTGTTAACCATATCCTTATATTGGGCTGGGCTGATGTTCGCACATTTAATGAGTGTCCATTCGCTACATGTATCACAGTCGACAGCACCATGATTGACTGCAACCGGTCTTTTGCATTTAGTATGAAGGGGTGACCAAAGTTCGCGGACATTTTAGAACATATTACAAAATGTGATATTCGAACTACGATTTCTCATATTCTACACAAATTTATTGATTTCAATTATAACCAAAGGGACGGCGAAGTTTTTAACTACAGATTAGTTCAACTAGAAAATTTTATCGTCGAAGGACTTCGGAGATATCGCGATCTAAAAATTCGATGTCCGATCGTTCGTGCGCGCTGCATCTAAAAAAGTCATAAAAACAACGAGACCTAACTTCACGCACGGGGGTTTACAGTTGATTTATCAAAAAGTGTGATCCATCGAAAATAAGGTAATATCATAATTTGCAAGGCAAGATATCATACAATCAGTTAGTACCACTCTTTACTTACAATTTTGAGGAAATCTGCTCTCAAATTGAAGATTTTCAGACCCTTATCGGTAAGTTGATCATTTTTCGGAACGGACGCAAAATTGCAAAATTTGCCGATCTTTTGTCAATATTTTCACAATTTCGTACCCAATTCCAAAGAAAATTTCACTTCTGGGTAATTTTATGTTCCTCTTTCCATTGGTGATATCAGATTTTCGTAATCTTACTGATTTTTGAGATAGCGAACTTAGGTCACGCGCGAACTTTGGTCACACCACCATACATGGAAATTTACAGGAAACTGGCCCAGGATCCTAGCTGGTGTACATCTCCACATTGAAGTATTAAAATGAGGAGAGCAAGTGATGCATAGATATAACAAGTAATGTGTTGCATGTTGATACCGAACCGGAAACCCTTTCAAGAAAGTAAGCCTGGAAAGTACTAGCTAACAGTGGCAATGGCTTAAAAAGAGCTAGAGCCCAAAAAACATTCACAACGTATGAATGTATGACTATGACGGCGAGATTCCAGAAGAAGGGAGTCAATATTGGCTTCTAAAGTTCCAGCAGTAGTCATTAGTGTTAAAAAAGCCGATAATAGAAAACGCTCACAATCTGTGAATTCTATGATAAAATATGTAGTTATAGTCCAAACGGTGTCAAGAACGATCGATGCGCGATAAGTTAATGCACATGAGTTAATGGCTAATGCACATCGTCCATCTTTAACTTATTTATCGAATCGAAAGTCTAAAAAGTCTTAAATGTCACTAATTAAAAAAGATACACATCCAAATGCACGAAGTAGGCCGGGAGCCTATAGTATTCAGTTCACCAACATTCAACAAGATGGAAACATAGTCTAATTATACTTGCGAACTTCGATGGAGGGTGGAACGGGAAAAAGCACTTGGCGTCCAAGGCGCACACGCTATCCATGTTTGGCATGTACTGTAGTGAATACAACATCGATCTCAGTTCGAATCCAAATGTTAGTTATCCTCAAAATCCCTCGAAAAATTTACTAAAAGCTGAAATAACTTATCCAAAACAACTATCGTGTTTTCAAGAATCAAATTTATAAGGTTAAAAATATGGATGCACAATTTAAAAAGAAGATTTAGACAGATCTTAGTTAGCCAAATCTCCGCGATGAAAAACTACGTCTCTCTCGCTCGATAGCGCCCTCTCCTCTCCTTGGGACCAGGCTTTAGGTTTTCTTCCGGGAGCTCTGTGATTGGTGTGTCATAATGTAGGAAAAAGAGCATTATAGAGTACCGAAGCTGTGATATCATAAACATCTATTTTTAGAATTTCTCAATTTTTTCTTCATTTTCCAAAAGAGCATAAAAAAGAATGTCCAAATGTCGAAAACCAATTGAATAATATGTTAAGTTTTGGCTGTGATATGACCATCTAAATAAATAGATATGTCCTATCGGAACTGAGTGTTATATTGCTCTGGCTCGTAATGTTATGAACCAGAGCAATATAACACTGAGTTCCCATTGGAAATCTTTTTATTCAGATGGTCATATCTCCGCCAATACTTAACCTATACAATTGGTTTTCGACATTTGGCCATTATTTTTTATGTTCTTCTGGAAAATGAAGAAAATATTGAGAAATTACCAAAACAAATTTTTGATGTCGTCACGCTTCACCACTCTATAATCTTTTTTGATAACACACGCCATAAAATAAATACAAACACATATTGGAAATATCAGAAGAGGCATTAGGTTATTATTAATATATGCTACAATTTCATAACTACAACAGAAAACTGTCATAGCTTTAAGGAACGCAGTACCAAATATCCGTTTTTCTTTGACTTACTGCATGCCAATTCGTCCTCGTAACGATTGCATTGATAAAGTCCATCACATACGACAGTCCGTGACACGTTTCTGTTGGATCTCGAACAAGGAAACACGGCTAGTAGAATAGGCGAGAAGATAGAGAAGAAAGTGACATATGAGTAGGTCAAAATGCTTGGAAGTTTAACAATTGATTACACCAGATTTAAAAAAAATATTTTCTTGTAGTATTAGGAGCGTTTAATTCACCTTCTCAATACTATTGTGTGTGGTAAAACTGGAAACATGGTTTATCTTCTTCAGTCGACGGTTGTTGAATAGTTCTGCTTTTTTTTAACTGGAAAGATACCAGTTATCATTGCTTAAAAACACACAGCTGTAGAAGTGTCGTGGTCGAGTGAGTACGTCGCCGGACTTTCGGTCCGTGGTTTGAGTCTCGCCGCGGCACTAATGTCCTCTGGCAAGACATTGATCTACATTTGCCACACTCAATCCAGTTGAGGTAAATAGGTACCTTGCAGGAATTAATTGCATGAAATGCTGAAGCACTGTAATGGCAGCTAGGCTAAAGCCAGGGTAATAATAAATGCGCCTTGGAATATAAATTTTAGATAGACGGCGCTATAGAAATACTTATTATTATTGTTATTATTAGATTCCACAGATATTTTTAAAAGAACATTAATCCCACACTAGCTCACTCACTTGATAACTCATTAGAAAATATTTCAACGACCATTTGAAGTCTAGAGCTCTTTATTGCTCCTATGGCAGCAAACCACATCTCATTGGTATCTACATAGACATCATCGGGAGCGGTGGTTCTATATCCATAGAAAGTTGTGATGACAGACTGTATGTCAGACGGATCGTTACCAGTCCCTATTTCAACTTTAACATCACTATTGAGATTCAAAGACTGGAACACAACTCTAAATCCATTCGTAGCGTTTGTTTGTAACAAGGTTGCGTCATAAAATCGTGTTGTCGTGGTGGTTGGTAAGGAGATGAAATGTGATTCGCCTTCCTGGAGAAATGGTGCTGAGTTGTCTGTAATGTTTTTTATTTAAAGACATGTAGGAAAGAAATTAATATGAGGAAGAAAAGAGTAAAGTAACAAACAAATAAATTTCGCATCTGAAGATGATTCTGATCAGTTCTACAACTAGATTGGTCCTTGAACTTCATCACCTTGCACTAACTAATCTGGGAGCTTACGATTCTGATCAGTTCTACAGCTAGATTGGTCCTTAAACTTTATCACCTTCACCAACTAATCTGGGAGCTTCTCTCCAAAAAAACAACCCTTCACTATCAGTACGATTTGACCCCTAGATCATTTAGGCTATTCTAGAAAAGCTTGTAGACCTGACTCTACCTTTCAGAGCTCCCCAAAACAGAAACCAAACTCAGGTCGGTTTCAAACCACCTACCAAGTGCACGAAATATCTTTGCCAGAGATTATTGCTAAACATTACAACCAAAAAATACATTTTCCCACTTAGATCATATGGACACCATTTTTTAAGGAAACATGTTGTAAAGACTGGCACTTCCTGATTTGCAGACATATGACACTATATTGACAGGAATTTGGTGCTTGGAACCAACTTTGGGGTTCGGGAGGAGGAGGAGGAGGGGGGGGGGGGGCTATTCAACAGCTACATTCAGACTGCCACACTTTTTTTAACACCGACCTAGATGCTCTCAATAACTTTGAGGGGTCAAGTCGATCGTGGGAGTGAAATTTCTGACAATTTCAGAATAAGTCCCTCGCCCCTACCGAGTTGTCAAAAGACGTTGAAAAAAAGGATACCCTATCAGGCCTTGACCACAAATACCATAATTCAGGTGACTTAAATATCAAGAAAAGTCCATGAGAAAACCAAAACAAATCTGTCTTTAAAATGATGAAGGGAGTTCATCAATAAAATTGCAAGACACTCATGAACTTCACAATTTCATGAAACAGTTGACAAGAATGTGAGAGAATGCGAAGTGTATGGCTTAACATTTCAGCATCCTTATTTCAATTAATCCGTGTCCGTGTACTTGTGCAACGTATCATGAAACCTGTTACCAACAACAAGTTGCAACAACTGTTAAAAGCTACTGAAAGCGTGACATTTGATCGACAGAGAGTAAATTTATCATAGAAATCTAGATTTTGTTATTAATAACAATTTAACTAGACTGTTCATTAGAAACTAAAATTGACTTATCGTAATAACCATACAAAGGACTTCCTATTGACAATGTGCTGTGCTTGGGACCAAGCTTTTGATTCTCTTCCGGGAGCGCTGTCATTGATGTGTCATTATGTAGGAAGAATGCATTATACCATCTTCTTTGATAACGCGCGCCATAAAATAAATACAAAGACATATTGAAATATCAGAAGAAGCATCAGGTTATTATTAATATATGCTACAAATTCATAACTACAACAAAAATCTGTCATAGTTTTTTAGGAGCGCAGTACCCAATATCCTTTTTCCTTGGACTTACCGCATGGTACTTCGTCCTCGTAACGATCGCATTGGTAAAGTCCATCGCACACGACAGCCCGTGACACGTTGATGTTGGATTTCGAACACGCAAATACGGCTAGTAGAATATAGAAGATAGAGAAAAAGGTGACATATGAGTAGGTCAAAATGCATGAAATTCTTACAATTGATTCTACTATGTTTTTTAAAAAAATTACTTGTAGTAATTATTCGCGTGAAATTTATCTTATAAAAACTATTATTTCTGGTAAAACTGAAAACATGGTTTATCTTCTAGTCGACAGGTGTTGAATAATTCAGCTATTTTTTAAATGGAAAAATACCAGTTACCATTGGTTCGGGTTATAGTCTTCTCTTAATCAGAACACTGTGCGCTTAGAAACATCAGTATTAAGCGCCTAATAAATGTTATGTATTATTATTATTATTATTCGATACAGAGAGATTTAGATTCCACCGATATTTGAAAAGAACATTAATCCCACACTAGCTCACTCACTTGATAAGTCATTAGAAAATATTTCAACGTCCATTTGAAGTCTAGCGCTCTGTATTGCTCCTATGGCAGCAAACCACATCTCATTGGTATTAACATAGACATCATCGGGAGCGGTGGTTCTATGTCCATAGAAAGTTGTGATGACAGACTGTATGTCAGACGGATCGTTACCAGTCCCTATTTCGATCTTATCATCAGCATAGTAGAGATTCAAAGACTGGAACACAACTTGAAATCCATTCGTAGCGTTTGTTTGTAGCAAGGTTCCGTCATAAAATCGTGTTGTCGTGGTGGTTGGTAAGGAGATGAAATGTGATTCGCCTTCCTGAAGAAATGGTGCTGAGTTATCTGTAAGATTTTTTATTTCAAGACATGTAGGAAAGAAATTAATTATAAAAAACAAAACAACAACAACAAGTAACTTTCGCATCTGTAGATGATTCTGATCAGTCCTTCAACTAGAGATTAGTACCTTAACTTCATTACCTTGGACTGACTATTAATCTGGGAACCTCTCCCGAATAAAACATCTTACACTATCCGAAGATTTGACCCACTTAAGTTACTTAGACCACTTGGGGTATTTTATAATAGCTTGTCGACCTGACTCTATCCGAAAGAGCTCCTCAAAACAGAAACCAAACTCAGGTCGGTTTCAACCGATCCACCTTATGCACGAAATATCTTTGCTAGAAATTATTACTGAACATTACAAAAATTACACTTTCCCACTTAAATCATATGGACACCATTAATTTTGTTTCCTTTCTGTTATTCCGAATTTTAAAAGACTGGCTTGTCCTGATATGCAGACATATAACTTCATATTAGGGACTTTTAGATTTGCACGACGAGAGCGTGGACTGCCAAGCTAGACATCCTTTTAAAGGTGAAATTCAAAGAAAATCACAAATATGTCAACTATTGTATCACTAGAAACTGGTAAGCTAACAGATGGCCATCGTACAAGTTTTAGGTCAACTACATATCGGGTGATTTATAAAAAATACAAATACAACCACCTCCATAGCAGCTGGGATATACAAGAGATTCGCCGGAAAAAATAACGATGTTTTAATGACGTCACTATATGGACCACTCACTATGAATATGACTGACAAAGAAAGCGGACAAAATATACAGTTCCTCAGGTAGACAAAGGAACATCCCTTCATTGCTATTATGTAAAAATGTGTAGAACAGGTGAATATGCATGTGACACCTGTTCTACACATTTTTACATAATAGCAGTGAAGGGATGTTCCTTTGTCTACCTGAGGAACTGTATATTTTGTCCGCTTTCTTTGTCAGTCATATTCATAGTGACTACTGCCCAAGCAGACGACATCCCATAAAGAATGAACATATTGCGAAGCTATTATTTGTCAAATTATAATGAGTTTAGTGCATATAAATGTAATGGCATGTCAAACCATTCAAAAGGGGATATGACCCGATTCCGATAGCTAAAATCTTTTGCATGTAAATACACAGGATAGGGATTAATTAACAATCAAAGAAACCAGACTTTCAAATTGAAAACCTCCCGGAATGATATTAAGGGCGGCATTTGTTCCCTCTTGAAACGCCGAACATACAGCGGTGTGTGCAGCTGAATATACAATGGCGTCTTATTTTGTTTACAAGCGACAGATTCCTTTATTTTTGTATCGCTGCATTTGTCATCAAAATAAAACTATGCGCGAGGCAATAGATTATACATTTAGCCTGGCGGTAGTGAAGTAAGAGAAAGAACTCAAGAGAAGATGAAAACACAGGCACTGAAAATGTGTGAGATGTCATGGGACATCGTCTGCTTGTGCAAATCATGTCCATACTGTGATCTCACACATCTCAGCAGCGTTCGAAGAGCTATTCAGGTGCTATGCCGGGGCTATATTTAAGCGTTTTGTAATTTATGATAATCATTACTTCGAATGTTTCCAAGCATTGAATTGTGATAACCTTGTCGAATCAAAGTTTCAACTTTGCAATAATGAAAATAAAGTTAGTTTTTAAAATCAATGAATATCTATTTTAAGGCAATATGACGTCCTTTTACGGCACTGGCAGTGTCCGGCAGTGCCTTAAAAGGATGTCACACATAGCAGTCCACGTTCTCGTCGTGCAAATCTAAAAGAACCTAGTGACAACAAATCTGGTGCCTTGACCAAACTTTGGGGTTCGGGGGGGGGGGGGGGGTAACCCGACAGCTACCGTATCCGGACACCTTCCCCCTGGACATCCGTCTCCCGGATAAACTTAAAACTTAAAAAACGCGGTACCATATATCCGTTTTTCTTGGACTTACCGCATACTAATTCGTCCTCGTAACGATCGCATTGATAAAGTCCATCGCACACGACAGCCCGTGACACGTTTCTGTTGGATCTCGAACAAGGAAACACGGCTAGTAGAATAGGCGAGAAGATAGAGAAGAAAGTGACATATGAGTTGGTCAAAATGCTTGGAAGTTTAACAATTGATTACACTAGGTTTAAAAAAAAAAAATTCTTTTAGTAATTAGGAGCGTTAAATTCACCTTCTCAATACTATTGTGTGTGGTAAAACTGGAAACATGGTTTATCTTCTTCAGTCGACGGTTGTTGAATAGTTCTGCTTTTTTTTAACTGGAAAGATACCAGTTATCATTGCTTAAATACACACAGCTGTAGAAGTGTCGAGGTCGAGTGAGTACGTCGCCGGACTTTCGGTCCGTGGTTTGAGTCTCGCCGCGGCACTAATGTCCTCTGGCAAGACATTGATCTACATTTGCCACACTCAACCCAGTTGAGGTAAATAGGTACCTTGCAGGAATTAATTGCATGAAATGCTGAAGCACTGTAATGCAGCTAGGCTAAAGCCAGGGTAATAATAAATGCGCCTTGGAATATAATTTTTAGATAGACGGCACTATAGAAATACTTATTATTATTGTTATCATTAGATTCCACAGATATTTAAAAAAAACATTAATCCTACACTAGCTCACTCACTTGATAAGTCATTAGAAAATATTTCAACGACCATTTGAAGTCTAGAGCTCTTTATTGCTCCTATGGTAGCAAACCACATCTCATTGGTATTAACATAGACATCATCGGGAGCGGTGGTTCTATATCCATAGAAAGTTGTGATGACAGACTGTATGTCAGACGGATCGTTACCAGTCCCTATTTCGATCTTATCAGCATAGTAGAGATTCAAAGACTGGAACACAACTTGAAATCCATTCGTAGCGTTTGTTTGTAACAAGGTTGCGTCATAAAATCGTGTTGTTGTGGTGGTTGGTAAGGAGATGAAATGTGATTCGCCTTCCTGAAGAAATGGTGCTGAGTTATCTGTAAGATTTTTTATTAAAAACATGTAGGAAAGAAATTAATATGAGGAAGAAAAGAGTAAAGTAACAACAAATAAATTTCGCATCTGAAGATGATTCTGATCAGTTCTACAACTAGATTAGTCCTTGAACTTCATCACCTTGCACCAAATTATCTGGGAGCTTCTCTCTAAAACATAACCCTTCACTATCCGTACGTTTTGACCCCCTTAAGTTACTTAGATCATTTAGGCTACTCTAGAAAAGCTTGTAGACCTGACTCTATCTTTCAGAGCTCTTCAAAACAGAAATCAAACTCAGGTCGGTTTCAACCCACCTACCCAATGCACGAAATATCTTTGCTAGAGAGTATTGCTGGACATTACAACCAAAAAATACATTTTCCCACTTAAATCATATGGGCACCATTTTTTTAAGGAAACATGTTCTGTTCTTCAACAGATTGTAAAGACTGGCACTTCCTGATTTGCAGACATATGACACTATATTGACAGGAATTTGGTGCTTGGATCCAACATTGGGGTTCGGGAGGAGGAGGAGGAGGGGGGGGGGGGGGCTATTCAACAGCTACATTCAGACTGCCACACTTTTTTTTATCACCGACCTAGATGCTCTCAATAACTTTGAGGGGTCAAGTCGTGTGATTGAAATTTCTGACAATTTCAGGAGATGTCCCTCGCCCCTACCGAGTTGTGAAAATACGTTGAAAAAAAGGATACCCTATTAGGACTTGAGCACAAAAACCATAACCCCAGTGACTAAAATATCAAAGAAAAGTCCATGAGACAACCAAACCAAACCTGTCTTTAAAATGATGAAGGGAGTTCATCAATAAAATTGCAAGACACTCATGAACTTCACAATTTCATGAAACAGTTGACAAGAATGTGAGAGAATGCGAAATGTAAGGCTTAACATTTCACCATCCTTATTTCAATTATTCCGTGTCCGTGTACCTGTGCAATGTTTCATGAAACCTGTTACCAACAATAAGTTGCAACAACTGTTAAAAGCTACTGAAAGCGTGACATTTTATTGACAGAGAGCAAATTTATCATAGAAATCTAGAATTTGTTATTAATAACAAGTTAACTAGCCTGTTCATTAGAAACTAAAATTGACCTATCGTAATTACCATACAAAGGACTTCCTATTGACAATGTGCTGTGCTTGTGACCAAGCTTTTGATTCTCTTCCGGGAGCTCTTTGATTGGTGTGTCATATGTAGGAAGAAAGTATTATACCATCTTCTTTAATAACGCACGCCATAAAATAAATACAAAGACATATTGTTAATATCAGAAGAGGCATTAGGTTATTAGGTCGAGCCTCCTACTCCGATGTCGACGAGCGACCAGATGAAAGAGTACCGAGACGGGCATCGCCAGCGCCGCTTGTTGGAGGTACCTGCTGCTGTTTTCGAAGGCACTGACGCAAATCCTTCGACTTCGATGTCGACGAGCGACCAAACCAATGAGTTCCGACAAGGGCATCGCCAACGCCGCTTGTCTGAGCTACCTGATATTGTCGTCGAAGGCGACTCGATGATCAAGCACATCGAGGGCCGACTCCTGAGCCGAAAACATCGAGTAGTCTGCCATCCGAACCCAGGGGCAACGGTGGCTGATATCTCCTCTAAGAAGGCTACTGAGGGTGTACAGGCGAAAGGAGACGTCGTTCTACATGTCGGGTCAAATGACTTGTCGAAAGGTAATGGTAGTACATCCACCGCCGATGACATCATAGCATTAGCAGACGTGATTGCAGCAAAAGGCTGTGATGTATGCTTGTCTAGTGTTATACACCGCAGATGGGAATCGGTTCATCAGAGGCGCAGTGTCGATGGTGTAAATGGGCGACTGAAAAGAGCTGCCCGTGAAAGGAGATGGGGTTTCATAGACAACGATAACATAGGTGACAGGCACCTTGGCAGAGATAGGGTCCACATTAATAAGGCAGGACAAGCTGTTCTTGCCTCCAATCTACGCCACTTTATTGAGCGACCACAAGGGCCACCTACACCTACTCAGCAAATGTCCTACGCTGGAGTTGTTGGATCTTCAACGCAGGATTTCGAGATGATTGCACCGAGAGGGAGGCTAAAATCTGCAACTGCTCTTCCAATGCTTCCACTGACAAAAGCTCAACAGGGGTGGCACGAGCATCTACGTCTCGTCATGGCAACATGCAGTTAAACTCTGTCTCTGGTACTGGCATACTACATCATAATCTTCAGGAACAATCTCATGAACTGAGTAAGAGTATCATTAAACAGAAGGTGGTTCAGTTCCTCCGTTTAGAAACAGGGGCTTAAAATTTGCTCATTTGAATATTCATAGCTTAGTTGCTAAGATTAACGAACTTAGATTACTTCTGAGAAATGCATCACTTGATGTTATTGGTTTAAATGAAACATTTTGCGACTCCATGATTGATGACTCTGAATTGTATATAGATGATTATATTTTATTACGTAGAGACCGTACGCGACATGGTGGTGGTGTGGCTGTACCCAAGAGGTTCAATTATAAAAGAATAGATGATTTGATTTCATCTACTTTGGAATGACTTTGGTTTGAATTGCATTATCCAAATAAGTCTCCCATCCTGGTTGGAGAGTTTTACAGACCTCCAAATTCTCACGTTGATTTCTTTGAAGAATTAGACGGAAATTTGGACTCTGCTCTCTCGGAAGATATGAGCTGTATTATTTTAGGTGATTTCAATTGTGATTGTATGCCACACCAACTTGATCTGAATGCTGAAAAGTTAATGTTTTATACAAATATGTACGGGCTAAGTCAGCTAATTGATACTGCGACAAGAGTTACAAATACCTCTTCTACTTTAAATGACTTGATATTTGTATCAGACAAGGAACTTTACAATGAATGGGGAATATTTGAAACTAGCATAAGTGATCATTATTTGGTGTATACGGTTCGCGATTTTAGTGCAAAGATCCATACAAAATCAGAATACGCAGAATTTCGCTCGTTTAAAAATCTTGACGAGGAGAAATTTTACAGTGAATTGAGAAGTACTCCTTGGCAGGTCATAAAAGATATAGATAATGTTGATGTTGCGTGGGATATGTGGTTGACGCTATTCAATAATATAATCAACAAGCACATACCAGTATTTAAAAAGCGGATAAGAAAAAAGGCATGTCCATGGATATCTGACGAGATTGTTAAGCTTATGACAGAACGTGATAAAGTTCTCAAAGCTGCTAAAGCTAACAAAAGTGATGATCTTTGGGACACCAAAGAGAGAAAAAGAGAATATAATGCAGACCAGATCTCGCAAAATCATACCAATAGTAAGCAAATGTGGAGCTGTTTGAGAAACCTTGTGCCTAAGTCATTACCTATATCTCCCAATAGCATAAATGTTGATGGTGCTAATGTGTCAGACAATGCAAATATTGCTGAAGCTTTTAATGACTTTTTCATTTCTAATGCTACTAAGATTACAAAGGACCTGCGAAGGAATACGTCTCAACTGAGAGTAGACGAGGACAATAATATTGGTCCAACTCGTTCACAATTTAATTTGAATTTGATTACTGAGGATTTTGTATTGAAACAGATTGATAATCTGAGTATAGATAAAGCAACTGGTGAAGATCACATCAGCTGTAAACTTTTAAAGATGACGAAGAATGTTATCGCAGAGTCTCTTTGTGATATCATTAACAAATCCCTATCTACAGGAGTTGTTCCACGTGAATGGAAAAAGGCTCGGGTGGTACCAATATTCAAATCTGGAGATATCTGGAGTCTAGTGTTGCCACGATTAGATTACTGCTCTGTTGTATGGTCGAACAGATTTCATTCTCATACAACTAAGCTGCAAAAAAAATCAAAAGAGGGCCGCAAGAATAATATTGAACAAGACATATGACACACCGTCGGCTGATTTGTTCACAAGTCTTAAATGGATGACACTAGACAAGCGGTTTGAGTTAAGTCGCGTTATGATGATATATAAATGCGTTCATAACTTAGCACCTTCTTACCTTCAGGTAGGCTTAATCAGTCCTAATGATGTACATGAGCATCATACAAGGCAAATAGACAGTGGATGTTTACGTGTGCCTAGATTTCACACTGATTGGTATAAGTGTAGCCCAATTGTTTCTTCCATATTTAATGGAATAAGCTAGATAATTCGTTGAGAACGGCTTCCTCTGTCAATTCATTTAAGAGATTAGGGACTTTTAGATTTGCACGTCAACAGCTTTGACTGCAACGTGTGACGTCATTTTAAGGCACTGCGCATGCCTCCACGCGGCAACACACGGTAACTGGGTACCTCACGGTCCCAGGCAAAACTGTAAGGGATCTCGGAGCAGCTTTGTGCCCCAGACTGCAACGTGTGACGTCATTTTAAGGCACTGCGCATGCGTTACGTCGTCTCAGTCGGCGATCGAGAATGTGTCAACCTTGATTTTCCTAAATCTAGTACATACATACACATTTATGTGAGGGTCTGGAACCCTCACACAAACAAGCATATATCCAAAATCGAGGCAGTACAAAGGCGAGCAGCAAGATTCACCCTCCAGAGATATCGTCGTATGGCCAGTGTCTCGGCCATGATTCAACATCTGAAATGGGAGAGCCTGGAGAGGAGAAGAAATGCTGCAAGCCTCCACCTCATGTACAAGATCCAAAACGACACAATAGCCATCAATGCACACCATTACACAGCACCCATGATTGCCAGCAACACACGACAGTATCACTCAAAGAAGTTGCTGGCTATCCCATCCCGCACCCAGCTCTACCAGAATTCATTTTTCCCTCGGACAGTAACTGCGTGGAATGCACTTTCAAAGATCACCCTTGACGCTACTTCACTGGAGGGCTTCAAGGGAGCGCTTCCACCAAGCATCTAGACCAAGAACTAGATAGTTTATTCCTCAGCACTACATCCTGACTTATGGATCCTGCTGAGTATCGTCGTAGAAGTAGAAGTATTTATATTTATATAGCGCCTTTACATGCTCAATTTACTAGTATGCCGCGTGCGCATAAAATATAGAGTTCCTCAGGTAGACAAAGGAACATCCCTTCCCTGCTATTATGTAAAAATGTGTAGAACAGGTGTCACATGCATTCACCTGTTCTACACATTTTTGCATAACAGCAGTGAAGGGATGTTCTTTTGTTGAGGGTAGAATGAGGAACTGTATATTTGCAATGACGAACCTTCGTCATTGCCTTGTTTTCGTTCACATTCTGCCCCATTAATATTCTTATCGTCCAAAAATCACATTCGTTTTGCACGTAGTGTTTGTTATTCCTAGTTAGGTGCTTTCCTCATGTCCTTTTCATTTCAAATTTCATAGACATAGTCTCTAGCATCTCATCAAGGTCACCTACTTTTTCGATTTTTGAAATCACTCATGCATAACCGTCCAGACGCCATTTTGTCCGTTTCTGGTCCATTTTAAGGCCTTTCTTTCTTCCTTCTCATCTCCACTATCCTAGATCCTACAAACTTCTAACAAATTCCTCTAGATAGTCTGAGAGATGTTCTTTCATCTGCGACATATGACTTGACCTTTAAAATGCCATCTTCGTACTCAAAATTTAAATCTGAAACTGACTCCGTCAAAAATCTCTCAAATTCTTGAAAAATGGACCCCTAAAAATCTAAAACTGCCCTAACTTTCTCATATAAACTTCGTTTTGTGTTTAAATCTTACATTATCCTTATCTCATAATTGCACATAGCCATGCCAAATTTCATGCTCCAATGTCTATGCAAAACATAAATAGCGCCCTCTAAATTTCTGGGAATTGGCTTTCTTTCTGTGGCCGTATCTCCATAATGGCTTGGCAAACCCGTACCCTTTTTTGGATTTAGATACTTGAAGATATGCCCTTTCCAGCCATATACAAAATTATATACCCTAACACTGACCAACTTTGAGAAAAATGCCCTCCAAATTCGCCATTTTCGAGAAAATTCCAAAATAACTTCAACTTGCTCTAAAATAGCGATCTTTATACCTATATCAATGAAACTTGGCAGATATATGTATCCATATAAGTGACAACTGTCTGCCAAGTTTAGTAAAATTTTAATATGTCAGCACAAAGTTATCGCCAAAAATGATGAATTTGCTATGCATTACGTAATAGCGCCTATAATGCGTGCAGTACATTGCGCGCAGATGACAATGGTTTTAAACTGACCGCAATGAAGTGCCCTTTCGAATGATCCCAAGTATGGTATATGTTCACATAGAAAATTTTGAGTAAATCACATTTGAATAAGGGTCACTATACGCTTTCCGCCCAATATTATAACACGTATCGGCTAAGACGGCATTTCTCAGACTTTTTTTCGCCCCCTAAACATCCTTTTTTTTTCTTAAAATTTTGCAGTGACATTTAGAGTTGCAGTACGCAGGGCACCTCGTGGCCGGATTTTTGAAATTGGTCGAGGGGGTCATTAAAGACGCCATTTTGTACTATAAATCTATTTTACATCACGTGTTTCGATTGGTTTCTCATAGAAAAAAAGAGAGTGGTTTACAATAACAACCATGAAATTCTCTTTCCAATGATACCAAATACGGCCCATTAAGAGACATCAAGAGAGAGAGAGAAAAAACAATTTAACTCCGGTCATAATACAGATCCTGTACGTTTTCCGCCCATGCATTACACGCATTGTCTATGGGACATATCGGGTTCACGCTTTTGGCTCCCAGAACGATCTTTATTGCAATGACGAACATGCACCAAATCCCGTTGGTTTTTGCACGCATTGCTTGCGAGCCATTTCTAGGTTCTTTCCCTATCCCAATTTCTTTCAAACTTCGTAGGCATAGCCACTACCATCCCATCAAGGTCACTGTTAAGGCGTTTCTTTCGCCCTACCTATCTCCAATATCACATAAGCTACAGACTTCGTACGAATTGCTCTGGATAGTCCGAGAGAAGCTCTTTCGTTTGACACGTAGAAACATGGCGTCATTGCACGCACATCGTTGTGACACGATTGCATTTCTAGTTTGTCCTCTTTCTTTGTCCGTGATGTTCATAGTGTTACTTCCTGCATGCATGTATATCGTCGAGTGCAATCTAAAAGATTTCTAATTGTAGTCAACATGTGCAGTTAAGTACGTTGACACGCGTGATTAGCGGCGTTCGTCGTGTTCTCGTCCACTCAATCTAAAAGTCCCTAATGTTTTTAAACAAAGTTGTAATTTGTGAATGGCTCAGCCGAACATACACTACGTGCATGTTCTGTAATATTTACATGACTTATTCACATAATTGCGACTTAATTAGTATTTTCCTATTGACACTACTGTTTACTAGGTTAATGATATATGTTTATTTTGCAAACGAGTATTATTTTTGTAACTGTTCTGTATAAATGTTATAAACGATGTAAATATGTTCATTCAGGGCCCCATGGAAGACCACTACTTGTTGGTGAATGGGCTACCCTGTCAAAAGATTAGAAAAAAACAAAAAATAAATAAAATTATTAATATATGCTACAATCTCATAACTACAACAAAAATTTGTCATATTTCTAATGACCGCAGTACCAAATATCTGTTTTTCTTGGACTTACCGCATACTAATTCGTCCTCGTAACGATCGCATTGGTAAAGTCCATCACATACGACAGTCCGTGACACGTTTCTGTTTGATCTCGAACAAGGAAACACGGCTAGTAGAATATACGAGAAGATAGAAAGAAAAAGTAACATATGTGTAGGTCAAACTGCTTGGAAATCTTACAATCGATTCCACTATGTTTTCTTTGATTACTTGTAGTAATTAGGCACGCTAAATGCACCTTCTCAATACTATTATTTGTGGTAAAACTGGAAACATGGTTTATCTTCATCAGTTGACAGGTGTTTAATAATTCTTCTTTTTTGTAACTGAACAAATACCAGTTGTCATTGCTCAGATACACAGAGCTTTAGAGGTGTCGTGGTCGAGTGGATACGTCGCCAGACTGTCGATCCCAATTTGAGGTCCGCGGTTCCAATCCAGCCGCGGCACTAATATCCTTTGGCAATACATTGATCGAAATTTGCCAAACTCAACCCAGGTGATTTAAATGGGTACTCGACAGGAATTAATTCCTTGAAATGCTGGAGCGTAATAATAATAGGTAATAATAAATGCGCCTCGGAATAGAATTTCTAGATAGATGGCGCTATAGAAATACCTATTATTATTATTATTATTATTATTATTATTATTATTCCACCGATATTTTAAAAGAACATTAATCCCACACTTGCTCACTCACTTGATAAGTCATTAGAAAATATCCGCACGTCCATTTGAAGCCAAGAGTTACTCTTTGCTCCTATGGCAGCAATCCACATCTCATTGGTATCTACATAGACATCATCAGGAGCAGTGTTTCTAGGTCCATGGATAGTTAATATTACAGACTGTATGTCAGACGGATCGTTACCAGTCCCTATTTCGAACTTAGCATAAGCATAGCCATTGATGAGATTCAAAGACTGGAACACAATTTGAAATCCATTAGTAGCGTTTGTTTGAAGCAAGGTTGCGTTATAAAATCGTGTTGTCCTGGTGGTTGGTAAGGAGATGAAATGTGATTCGCCTTCCTGAAGAAATGGTGCTGAGTTATCTGTAAGATTTCGTATTAAAAGACACGTAGGAAAGAATTGAACTGTGTAATTAGTAGACACATGATGTAGTGAAGCGTCTAGTGCAGTCACTATGAACATGACAGACAAAGAAAGCGGACAATATATGCAGTTCCTTAGGTAGACAAAGGAACATTCCTTCACTGCTATTATGTAAAAATAAGTAGAAAAGGTGAATATGGATGTGACACCTGTTCTACACATTTTTACATACTAGCAGTGAAGGGATGTTCCTTTGTCTACCTGGGGAACTGTATATTCTGTCCGCTTTCTTTGTCAGTCATGTTCATAGTGAGTAGTATGTAGAAATAGATTAGCATAGTGTAGTTTTAGCATAGTGCTTGCAACTTCTGCTTTAGCTGCTGCCGCTTGCTAACCGCAAGGTGAAAAGGGAAGTCGATTGCGTATATAAGCCTTCCCCTGCCAGTACAAAGCCTCTCCTCCACCAAGACTCTTACAGTGCCTCCACGCGGCAACACACGGTAACTGGGTACCTCACGGTCCCAGGCAAAACTGTAAGGGATCTCGGAGCAGCTTTGTGCCCCAGACTGCAACGTGTGACGTCATTTTAAGGCACTGCGCATGCGTTACGACGTCTCAGTCGGCGATCGAGAGTGTGTCAACCTTGATTTTCCTAAATCTAGTACATACATACACATATTTATATTTATATAGCGCCTTTACATACTCAATTTACTAGTATGCCGCGTGCGCATAAAACATAGAGTTCCTCAGGTAGACAAAGGAACATCCCTTCCCTGCTATTATGTAAAAATGTGTAGAACAGGTGTCACATGCATATTCACCTGTTCTACACATTTTTACATAACAGCAGTGAAGGGATGTTCTTTTGTTGAGGGTAGAATGAGGAACTGTATATTTTGTCCTCTTTCTTTGTCCGTGATGTTCATAGTGTTACTTCCTGCATGCATGTATATCGTCGAGTGCAATCTAAAAGATTTCTAATTGTAGTCAACATGTGCAGTTAAGTACGTTGACACGCGTGATTAGCGGCGTTCGTCGTGTTCTCGTCCACTCAATCTAAAAGTCCCTAATGTTTTTAAACAAAGTTGTAATTTGTGAATGGCTCAGCCGAACATACACTACGTGCATGTTCTGTAATATTTACATGACTTATTCACATAATTGCGACTTAATTAATATTTTCCTATTGACACTACTGTTTACTAGGTTAATGATATATGTTTATTTTGCAAACGAGTATTATTTTTGTAACTGTTCTGTATAAATGTTATAAACGATGTAAATATGTTCATTCAGGGCCCCATGGAAGACCACTGCTTGTTGGTGAATGGGCTACCCTGTCAAAAGATTAGAAATAAATAAAATAAAAAAATAAAATTATTAATATATGCTACAATCTCATAACTACAACAAAAATTAATGTCATATTTCTAATGACCGCAGTACCAAATATCTGTTTTTCTTGGACTTACCGCATACTAATTCGTCCTCGTAACGATCGCATTGGTAAAGTCCATCACATACGACAGTCCGTGACACGTTTCTGTTTGATCTCGAACAAGGAAACACGGCTAGTAGAATATACGAAAAGTAACATATGTGTAGGTCAAACTGCTTGGAAATCTTACAATCGATTCCACTATGTTTTCTTTGATTACTTGTAGTAATTAGGCACGCTAAATGCACCTTCTCAATACTATTATTTGTGGTAAAACTGGAAACATGGTTTATCTTCATCAGTTGACAGGTGTTTAATAATTCTTCTTTTTTGTAACTGAACAAATACCAGTTATCATTGCTCAGATACACAGAGCTTTAGAGGTGTCGTGGTCGAGTGGATACGTCGCCGGACTGTCGATCCCAATTTGAGGTCCGCGGTTCCAGTCCAGCCGCGACACTCAGGCGCGGATCCACGAGCCCAATTCTTTCGGCCCGGCTATGGCAAGCCCATTGTGTAAAAACTAGATAAACTCAGTTTATCAGAAAAACTGTGTTTATCAATGATAAACTGAGTTTACCAACTGATAAACTGAGTTTTTCTGATAAACTGAGTTTATCAACTGATAAACTCCGTTTATCTGATAAACTCTGTTTATCTGTTGATAAACTGAGTTTATCTGAGAAAAACAGAGTTTATCTAGTTTTTACACAAAGGGCTTGCCATAGCCGGGCCGAAAGAATTGGGCTCGTGGATCCGCGCCTGGCGACACTAATATCCTTTGGCAATACATTGATCGAAATTTGCCAAACTCAACCCAGGTGATTTAAATGGGTACTCGACAGGAATTAATTCCTTGAAATGCTGGAGCGTAATAATAATAGGTAATAATAAATGCGCTTCGGAATAGAATTTCTAGATAGATGGCGCTATAGAAATACCTATTATTATTATTATTATTATTATTATTATTATTATTATTATTATTATTATTATTATTATTATTATTATCATTATTATCATTACTATTAAAGGTACTATGTCCCATTTGCAGGCCAAAAAAAATGAAAAAGTTAAATTCCAACTGCATTTGAAAGATAATACTAATTTAGAACTTCCCTAAAAAAAGGTGGGGCTAGAAAATGTCTTCAAGTGGGAAAATAACAACTATTAGTTGTCAAATCGACTTTAGGGCTATAGAGCCCAAAAGTAATAGTCTTGATTCTCAGTCAATTGTACCGAATGGTCATACGTTTTATGCTGCGCAAAGATTCAATCAGTTTAATCTTGGCCATCACAAGAAGTGGGTTATTGATGTAGAAAAATGCTCATGTACCCTTTACAACTCTTTTCATGTATGTTATTACCAAAGAAGAAAAAAGCCAGTCAGTCACTCAGAAGTGTCTGACAGTGAAGTCTAGCAAGTAAACGGGTTTCCTTGCATAATTTGAATATGAGATCACTGCCAATTTTTAAATTTCACAGATAGGACATACATGACATATTCATAATTCCTGCAAAGTTCTACATAATTTGAGGTTGGCTGCAAAAGGGACATAGTACCTTTAATATTATATTCCACCGATATTTTAAAAGAACATTAATCTCACACTTGCTCACTCACTTGATAAGTCATTAGAAAATATCCGCACGTCCATTTGAAGCCTAGAGTTACTCTTTCCTGCTATGGCAGCAAACCACATCTCATTGGTATCTACATAGACATCCTCGGGGACGATGGATATTATTTCATTGAAAGTCGTGATGACAGACTGTATGTCAGACGGATCGTTACCAGTCCCTATTTCGACTTTAACACCAGGATATATAAATATAGACTGGAACGAAACTTGAAATCCATTGGTAGCGTTTGTTTGTAGCAAGGTTGCGTCATAAAATCGTGTTGTAAAGGTGGTTGGTAAGGAGATGAAATGTGATTCGCCTTCCTGAAGAAATGGTGCTGAGTTATCTGTAAAGATATTTTAATTTAAAGACATGTAGGAAAGAAATTAGTATAAAGAAGAAAAAAGGAAAATAGCAACAAATAAATTTCTGTTGATGATTCTGATCAGTTCTACAACTAGATTGGTACTTAAACTTCATTACCTTGCATCAATGCACCGACTATTTTGGGAACTTCTCTCCAAAAACTCAGGTGGGTTTTAACCCATCTTCCTTATGCACACAATTTCGTTGCTTGAGATTATAAGTGAACAATACATTTTCCCACTTAAATCATTTGGATACCATTTAAAATAACAAATTCTCTGTTTATTCCAAATTTATAAAGACTGGCTTGTCCTGATATGCAGAAATATGACTTCATATTATGGACTTTTAGATATGCACGACGAGAACGTAGACTGCCATGCGTATCATCCTTTTAAGGCAATGTGACGTCCTTTAACGGCACTGGCAGTGCCCGTCAGTGCCTTAAAAGGATGCCACACATAGCAGTCCACGTTCTCGTCGTGCAAATCTAAAAGTACCTAGTGACAAAAAATCTGGTGCCTTGACCCAAATTTGGGGTTCGGGGGGGGGGGGGGGGGGGGGAACCCGACAGCTACCGTATCCGGAAACCTACCCTCTGGAGTACCTGGACATCCGTCCCCTGGATAACCACCCCAGTCACCTACCCCCTAGGACAACTACCCGCTAGGGAAACCAACCTCTAGGACGACTACCCCCAGGACAACTACCCCCGGATAACTATCCCCAGACAACTACCTCCAGGACAACTATCCCCCGGAAAACTACCCCCGGACAACTACCCTTATGATAGTTGTCCGGGTGGTAGTTGTCCTAGACAATGATTGTTTTAGGGGGTATTTGTCTGGGGGTAGTTGTCCGGGGGAAGTCGTCCTAGAGGATGGTTGCCCTGCTACATTTTTATTTAAAGACCTAGATGGTCTTAATAACATTGAGGGGTCAAGTCTTGTGAGTGAAATGTGTGACAATTTCAGGATAAGTCCCTTGACCCGACCGAGTTGTGAAAAACGTTGAAAAAAGGGATACCCTAATAGGCCTTGACCACAAAAACCATAATTCAAGTGACTAAAATATCAAGAAAAGTCCATGAGAAAACCAAAACAAATCTGTCTTTAAAATGATGAAGAGAGTTCACCAATAAAATTGCAAGACATTCATTAACTTCACAATGTCATGGAACAGTTGACAAGAATGTGAGAGAATGCGAAGTGTATGGCTTAATATTTCAGCATCCTTATTCCAATTATTCCATGTCCGTGTAGCTGTGCAATGTTTCATGAAACCTGTTACCAGCAACAAGTTGCAACAACTGTTAAAAGCTATAGAAATCGTGGTATTTGATTGACAGAGAGCAAATTTATCATAGAAATCTAAAATTTGTTATTAATAACAAGTTAACTAGCCTGTTCATTAGAAACTAAAAATGACCTTTCAAAATAACCAAACAAAGGACTTCCTATTGACAATGTTCCACGCTTGGGACAAAGCTCTGGATTCTCTTCCGGGAGCTCTGTCATTGATGTGTCATATGTGGGAAGAAAGCATTCGGATCTCATTTGATAGCGCACGCAATAACATAAGTAACAAGAAATATTGTAAATGTCAGAAGAGACATTAGGTTATTATCAATATATGCTAGAAATTCATAACTATAACAAAAAACTGTCATAGTTTTAAAGAACGCATTACCAAATATCCGTTTATCTTGGACTTACCGCATGGTACTTCGTCTTCGTAACGATCGCATTGGTAAAGTCCATCGCACACGACAGCCCGTGACACGTTTCTGTTGGATCTCGAACAAGGAAACACAGCTAGTAGAATATACGAGAAGATAGAGAAAAAAGTGACTTATGAGTTGGTCAAACTGCTTGGAAACTTTACAATGGATTCCACTATGTTTTTAAACAATTACTTGTAGTAATTAGACGCGTTAAATACACCTTGTTAATAGGAATATTTCTGGTAAAACTGTAAACATGGTTTATCTTCATCAGTCGAAATGTGTTGAATAATTCAGCTTTTTTGTAACTGGAAAGATACCAGTTATCACTGCTTCGATACACAGAGCTTTAGATTCCACCGATATTTTAAAAGAACATTAATCCCACACTAACTCACTCACTTGATAAGTCATTAGAAAATATCCGCACGTCCATTTGAAGCCTAGAGTTACTCTTTCCTGCTATGGCAGCAAACCACATCTCATTGGTATCTACATAGACATCCTCGGGGGCGATGGATATTATTCCATTGAAAGTCGTGATGACAGACTGTATGTCAGACGGATCGTTACCAGTCCCTATTTCGACTTTAACACCAGGATATATAAATATAGACTGGAACACAACTTGAAATCCATTGGTAGCGTTTGTTTGTAGCAAGGTTACGTCATAAAATCGTGTTGTAAAGGTGGTTGGTAAGGAGATGAAATGTGATTCGCCTTCCTGAAGAAATGGTGCTGAGTTATCTGTAAAGATATTTTAATTTAAAGACATGTAGGAAAGAAATTAGTATAAAGAAGAAAAAAGGAAAATAGCAACAAATAAATTTCTGTTGATGATTCTGATCAGTTCTACAACTAGATTGGTACTTAAACTTCATTACCTTGCATCAATGCACCGACTATTTTGGGAACTTCTCTCCAAAAACTCAGGTGGGTTTTAACCCATCTTCCTTATGCACACAATTTCGTTGCTTGAGATTATTAGTGAACAATACATTTTCCCATTTAAATCATTTGGACACCATTTAAAATAACAAATTCTCTGTTTATTCCAAATTTATAAAGACTGGCTTGTCCTGATATGCAGAAATATGACTTCATATTGTGGACTTTTAGATTTGCACGACGAGAACGTAGACTGCCATGCGTGACATCCTTTTAAGGCAATGTGACGTCATTTAACGGCACTGGCAGTGCCCGGCAGTGCCTTAAAAGGATGCCACACATAGCAGTCCACGTTCTCGTCGTGCAAATCTAAAAGTACCTAGTGACAAAAAATCTGGTGCTTGGACCCAACTTTGGGGTTCGGGTGTGGGGGGGGGGGGGGGGGGGGTGACCCGATAGCTACCGTATCCGGACACCTACCCCCTGGACATCCGTCTCCCGGATAACCACCCCTAGTCAACTACCCC